GGGGGTGCAGATGATCGGGATGGGAAAGAAGCCCGTTTTCGGGTTTTTGCTTTTTGCAGAGGCTTTTTTTTTTTTTTTTTTTTTCTACGTACTGTACATAAACAAATACCACTCGTTGTACTTCATGCACTGGCCGGCTTTCTGTGACATGTTTTGTTTTCCTGTTTTTGCCTCGCTCCGATTGTGTAGAAGCAGCTCGTGTTCCTGCCCATTGTAACCTTTTTGGTAGCCACATCCTGGTCCAGCCTCCTTCTCGCAGTCGCACTGGTCTCACGCGCGTTTTGAAGCGTTTACACATGCATTTCACCTCATATATCTGTTCCATGAGTTCTTTTTCATTCCCAACATGGCTCTGTCTCCGTTCGTCTCCCCCTGAAAAAGCTCCAATGCACTGCTCAACGAGACCGAACACGCTTCCCCACACTAGTGCCTATCATGACAGTTGTATTGTACTTTTTGCCAAAGACTGGTTTGCACTGTAATGTATGCCTCTCGACAGTGATAATAAATAAGCCACCTCTGAATTATAGACGCTGGTGTTGGGGTCTGGTCCTTTTTTTTTCTGCTGCTCAGGGTCCACCATCACACATCAGGGAATGATGGTGTTTCAGTCAGCTTTATAGCAAAGCTCCAATCTGTTTACCATCTTTTAGATTTTAAAATGAAAGGGGAAAAAGGGCACTTGCTGAAGTTGTGAACTCTGGGTTACCGCCCACTGTTGGTTCGAATCACAACTGGATGAGAAAGTCACTATCTTGACTCATAAAGTCTGCTACAACCAACTAGTTTTGATGATTTTTGTGGTTTACCGACAGGAAATCAACATAAAAAACTAAAACATGTCGCCTCGCCGCCAACCCCTGTTGATTACAACATTTTAAATGTTCATTCTCAGTCTCCAGATGACGATGATGATGCGTTTCCTGTTAGAACGTCCATTGTTTTCCGTCCGAGAGCAGGTCCAGTAGGTCCGAGGTGCCTAGAAAACATTACGCTGGACAGAACTGAGGCGGATTCTGCCTTCAGTCTGAGCAGAATTTTATTAACATCCAGTGTTGTACTGCCAGCTTTAAATCAAACGTAGACAAATAACAGAAGCAGCTGCTGGAGGGAATGTTTGGTGGGTCTGAACACTGGTGTTTGTCGTTTTCCTCTTGTTGTTCAGATCAGCCCTTTCGGTACCGGTGCCAGAAACCCTTCACCTTTACCTCAGTTTTCCACTTTTCCCAGCCCGTCCTCTGAAATCTGCTGCTCTCAGTGGGCTGTTGGCCGCCGGGCATAACTGGACAGAGTCTCTGGAAGGGAACGCCGCAACAGGAAATGAGGATTCCAGCAGCAGCAGGACGGATAAAAGGAACTTCGTCTCGGAGGTTAGCAGGAAAAGACATTATCACCCCAACAGCAAAGGGACCTACCTTGGAGCGGAGGAGATCAAAACACGAACACACGCACTTCCTCAGAGGCAGATAAGAGAGAAGTTCCTGTTTCCTCCATCAACAACGGCGTTTGAATAGCTTGTGGTTGATTCAGACAGAGATGAGAATAGAGGAACGCTAAAAAAGAACGGGCAAAATCTGAATCTCTGTGTTTCAGCTCTTTTTGCAGATGGAGAAAAGTTTCTGAGGACCGTGGCTCCCACGGCCCCGCTTAAACACAAGTCATCTCTTTTCCCACTCATCGCATACTGGAATTTCATTTAGGGGCAATTGGATGGTGGAATTACACCTCTCACTCCCAGAGGTGGGGGATTCTTTCCCCCTCGCTAATGGAACGTCACTCTCATTTCCAGAGCCAGCCGGATGAAAGGGAGAGAAGTGGAGTCCCGCTGAGGGGGAAATAGGTTTTGCATCCCCGGATTCAAAAAGCCTTGTGAACCTCAGCAGGAGAGAAATGTCATGAGAGGGCTTCCTGCTAGCGTTTTTGGGCTCCGACGCGGGCTTTGTGCACTAGATTTCTCAGGGAAAAGCACTAAACAGAATGTGTTTTGAATACTGAGAGAACACAGGAGCAAGTGGGGTCACAGAGCCTGGAATTATATTTAAAATTATTTCCAAATACATCAGAAGGAGAAAATGAAAGTTTTGTGAACAGTTTTCATTGTTTAAAACATATAGGATTAGGGTTCCTGAAGGAGAAAAATTAAGTAAAAGAGCAATAATCAAACAAAATTTAGAGGGTTTGATTCACTATACAATTCCATACTGTAGAGAAACTTCCTGATGTGCTTTCCCAAAGCATGGATCGAATGAATAGATAAATAAAAACGTCATCTCTGAGGGATGGAAATAATTCATTTTAACTCGTGTGTTACGTAAATGTTTGAAAAATTGAGTTCAGCCTTACATTTTGGTTGCAATTTAGAAAACAGTCGCCCTGAAAATCAAAGTTTTTAGCAATGAGATCATCAGAGGTGTGAAATCTAATGATGCTCTTTGGGAATGTTGTGGTTTTACTGAAAGCTTTTGCTCACCAACAGGCTTTTTACTCTCAGAAATCCAGTTTTTTGCGTCTTGCCTCTCCGGTATGTTCAAGACGTCACTGATTTAGTGGGACTAATCTGCCTTAATTCTAGGCAAATGTGGCCCACTGTGCAGATAAATAACACGTGTAGTTTCAATGAGGAGAGAAGGGACACAGGCTGCCTACCTTCAGTGGTATTCCCGATTGCCTTTCTGTCCTGAATCGATGCCCATTTCCACCTTAGATTTGCTCGTTGTTGCATATAAATGTGCTCTAAATGCAGTTATCGTTTTGCCTGTGTGCAGCAATGCAGAAATTCTTTTGCATGCATTGACAAAACACATATTTCATGGATTTCCTCATTTTCACTGCAGAGGAGAATAGAATCCCATCATTTATTTTATTGACAGTAAATGGGCCCAGCCCTTTACCATGATTGTGTTTCCTAAAGTTGCGTTAGCAGATTGCAAATGGCTCCATAAAGCCAGCACCACTTTGAAAACACATTTGGCAATTCTTCATTTGCGTTAGTAATTAATCGCTAAATAAATGACTGAATTAGAGAATCTGGACATCTTACTCCTCCTGCCAGGATCTGAGTAAAGGTATAAGGAACTCAAACCCCTGAGTCTGTGTGAAGGAGAACTAAGTCGTCTCTGAGTTCATATTTCCTTCAGAATCCCTGATATCATTCTCAGATTTTGTTGTTTCCAATTTCCAACTTTCAGTTATTCTAATTGGATCTGCTGCTGTAACTTGGCAGTGATTTTCTCCTCCCTTTTAGCGGCAAACTTCTTTCCCAGGTATGAGGTTTGTAAACTGTGATGGCCTGAGCAGAACACATCCCATCGGGGGAATAATGAACAAATCCGGGCTCCAGCTAAGAGGAGTCGGCTCTCCCTGGAGTTATCGGTCAACACCGATCATGTGATGCAGCCGGAGGGCCTCGCTGGGAGGCGACTGACCGGCAGAGGGGATGGATGAGGAGCTGACCGGTTGCTTTTTCCTGCATTCCTGGGTGGACACCAGCAGGGAACCGTCTGACCCTGCTCAGTAATCCGCCGGCTGTCTGGACCCCCTTTTTCAGCTCAGCTCCAGACCCAAAACGCCAAACAACCGGGGAGAGTCGACGTCAGTTCTGGAAGGAATGTACTGTAGGTCCACAGCCATGAGCTCATAAACACCCACAGCTGTCCACTCCTTAAGGCTCTTCTCCTAAACTGCAGAACTCCTCATCAAACTCCTCAAATAAATGCACAAAAAGGTTTCCGAACATGGATTTCCCCCTGGAGTGATTCCCTTGGAGCCACATATTGTCGTTACTCCTGGAGGAGTTGTGTTGTGCTCAGTGCTGTGTGTTGTGAGGTCTGTGTGTCTAACTGAGATCGGATTAAGAAGCTGAAACCTGTGGAAGTTTTTTTTTTTAGCATGTTTATTTGTTGTTCACAGTTCAGCTGAGTGTAAATGTGGTCAGATTAAATCAGCCACTAAAACCAAATCCACAAACCTTATCTGGTAAAACTCTGCCCCCTGGTGGGGATTTTATTTATTTTTAGAATACCGCTATACAGTTACTTCACCTTTAACAAGTTTAGTGAGTTTGGAAATCAAACACAGTTATTTAAAACTCTTTGTTTGAATGTTTTGCAACCAAAAACGTCCTAAAAGGAAAACGTGGAGTTGAATAATCAGGAAAAATGACCCTTTGGATGATATAACCCAAAAACTGGGAAATAAGCGGAAAACAATGGGGTTAAATGGTTGAAAAACATAATATGGATTTGAAAAAATATGGTTGAGAGAATTCAAACACATATGGATGGAGGGGGAAAAAGACATAAAAAATGGTAAAAATGAAAATCAAATAAGTAAACTGTGTTCTCTCTATTTAAAGGGTGAAGAGTTTTTAGCCTCCAGATTGATTTTATTTAGCTGGAAAATGTGCAAATAAGGCCCCTTTTGAAAAAAGAAGGCATTTAGGAAGGAAAAACCTCCATTTCAGCACAAACTAAGTTTCCTTCCTAGACAGAGAGAAAAAAGTTCTCTTTTTCACACGCTGCATTTTGGAATTTCCCTCGTGTCAGAAGAACGAAATTCTATCACCTTTTATCTCATCTAATCTTAACTTTTCAGATCAAAGTGTTTACATCGAGCGGAGACCTTTATCCAAAGTGTCAAAGCCAAGTGTGTCAACCACATGCTTTTGTGACCCTGTTTTCTAAAGTTCAGTCCCCCTTTTTTTTTTGTGAGCAAAAGCCGAATAGTGAGAGCATTACAGCAACACCAGCTAAAGAAAGGGGCAAAGATGGTCCCAATAGAGGCTCAGATAGGGAGGAACTGACCACCTCAAGCAATTATGGAGTAAAGTCCAAAGGGATGACCTCATTACAGAGCTCCAGATGTTTGGACGAACATACCGAGGGGTGTAAAAATACCCTAAAGACTCCCACCCACCCCCGTATTATCAAAGAGCCAATATAAGGGGTGAGACTGAAAAAAAAAAAGAATATGCGGAATGAGCCCGAGGCTGAAGCCAGCCTTTAAATCATCTGTGAAGAGATTCTTTTAAAAGCTTTGCCCACCTGTGGCCAACATTCCTCAGCAGACCTGACTGGTTCAAATCGATAAAAAAAAAAGAGAGAGAGGGTTTTCACATCAATGTGAAGCTGCAGAAATCCGTGTTCACCCTCTATCTCTCTCTTTATTGTTTGAGTTATGAGTTGTGTTTTTTTTCTTCAGCACACACACACACACACACACACGCACACACACACACGCACACACACACACACACACACACACACACACACACACACACACGCACACACACTGGATCAACAGAACAATGACAATCATTTAAATAATCATAAAAAAGCACAAAAAAGCATAAAAAAATACGTGGATTTTAGTTTCTTCTTATCCATTTTCATTCTAAAGTTTTGCCCGCTGTATGTGGAGTTGCAACATCTCTCTTTCTGACACCTAATAAGACTTTTGCATGAAGTATTTGGGCCACATTAAGGAGGACAACATGTGAGAACACACGTTAGTGTAGTAAAGCACTAAAATGCATCCAACACACAACGTGCCAAAGGCCGTGTCTCTCACATCCTATAAAGCCAGCAAGCTGCAGCCCAAAGATAAGCCATCTTTCAGCTAAGAAAAGGAAACAAAGTCACCTATGAGGCTGGTGGTTACATCCGGGCTCCCAAAGGCTGCAACAGTTCTTGGGCAATAATCTGAATCTCACATTTCCTACACTAAAAATGCTAATTAAGAAGTAAATTGCTCATTCCACATGTGTTTCCTCCTGCACATGCAGGAAGGATGAAGATGAAAATTCAATGAATCCAGGTTGTAGAGATTAAGAAATTGTAAAATTGTGGCAAACCAATGGTCAGAAATGCAAAAGGCAGAACCAGACACAGAGGTTTAGCACATCTGTCTGCAGCCTGACAGATTAGAAACTCGTAGAAATTGGTGGCAGTGTTAATTTTATTTGATTTACGGTTTCTTCTGTGAGTTCTGTGGGTTTTCTCCCCACACCAGAGATGCTTTGCCTTCTGCTCTTTCCACAAATCCTCACGACAAACCCTTTTTTCCAACAGCGTCATGAACAGAAGATGAAAGCGGTGACTTACCACAGAAGTTAGTTGTTTTTTTTTCCCCCGATGTGGGCTGAACACCTCTGTGCACACAAACCTTCCACCCACGCCCGGGATCACAAAGTTCAAAAGGTGTGATGTTTAGGATGTCAGAGAGAAGCCGCTTTGCTCTTTTGTCTTAGTAATCATTTTTATTTTGTCCCCTATCATTTACTAATTTCACATTTTGCTTCACAGCATCACTGTCTTTGTATCTAATGATATTATCCATGTCTAAAAAGTACAAAAAAGAACTTAATGGACTTGAAATAATAAATACATTCATAAATTTACACTTCGTGATTACAAATTTTCCATCTAATTTAATTGAAATACAATGAGTTCTCTTAAAACAACTCTGTTTTTAAGAATAATGTTTATTCTGAGAGCATCAAAAATAACAACCAAATACAAAATACTGAAAAGCAACTTAAAAGTCAACAAGAAATGGATGCAATGAAATAAAAACACGAGCAAATCTTACAAAACATTGTAGAAAACACAGATTTGAGAAATCTCGCCGTTGTTAACCTGATTTTAATTGAGAACTGTGAAAATGTTTGACTATATATCCGTTTACCACCTCAGCAGCAGAGCTGTGCTGTGTGTGGTGATTCCACTAATCTACGGCTCTGTTTTGACTTCTGTTAACTTCAGCTCCTCCGCATGAATGAGCAGCTACTAGACAGTTAAACAGGGTTTAAAAATGGCTCGCCCGAAAGAAGTTAGTGGTTATGGTTAGAAGTTTTGCTTCTCTCTTTGTTTTTTGCTAAAAAAATAACATCATGACCTTTAAGGTCAACTGGTGATTAAACACACACACACACACACACACACCTTGAGGGGAGTTTACAACTCTTAAGAGTTAATCCTGAAAGTGACCACCGACCAAGTGCTTCTACTCTCCATCCAACACAGGTTTATTTCCCTTCTTTTAACATGTTTGATGGAGGGTTTATTAACATAAAAATGTTAGAGACTCACGAACAAGAGCTCTTATGAAAAAAACTGAATGAACAAATGAATGATTTCTCCATCTAATATGAATCGAAAGCCTGTAAAATATTTTTTAAGCCACCACGTTAGTTAACAGACCTGCCTAAAAAGATGCTTTGGCTGCACTGTGGGAAATGTGAAGATTTACTGAAACCTGTAGCAAAATGTCAACAGTGCTGAATGTCCTGTTTTGACTATTTTAGAGCTAGAGGTGAGTGAGATGTATCTATATGAAAGCGTCACCTTTCAGAAACTCTATGCAGTCAGAAACGTACGGCATGGTATGAAGATGTTAAAGAATAATAGGAAAGAAAATCAAAAGGTTTAGAAGACCTGCTACATTTCCAATCATTTCAAGCACTGAATGAGGACATGTTGTTGGAGCCGTCGGAGGTTTTAACCAAACCAGACGCGCAGCTATCAGATTTTCCCCGCGGCGAGGAAGAGGAGTACATGCACTTCTTTCCGAAGTGCCAAAGGTCCGACATGATCTGCAGGAAGTGGCTCCTGAACTTCTGCCCGATGAAGGCGTACAGGACGGGGTTGAGGCAGCAGTGGAGGTAGGCCACGTTCCTGGACACGGCCAGGACCTGGACGCGTATCTTCTCCTCGGCGCAGCTCCTCTGGCCGAACAGCGCCCCGGTGTGGACCAGCAGCGCGGCGTTGAAGGGCAGGTGGCAGGCCACGAACACCAGCACCACGGCCAGCACCACGCGGATGGCCTTCCGCCGCTGGCTGTTCTGCGCCCGCATCAGCGTGCACGCCACGCGCCAGTAGCAGAACGCCATCGCCAGGAGCGGCACCAGGAAGCCCACCGCCATCTGCAGGCCGGGCACCAGCAGCTTGACCAGTCTGGCCGTGTCGTCGCGGTCGAAATTGAGCCGGCAGCTCACGGCGAAACTGGACGGAGTCCGTAGATCTTCCTCCTTTAGGAGCTCGCTGTAGAGCAGCGTGGGAAGGGTCAGAACCCCGGAGAAGATCCAGACCGCCAGACAGACGAGGCGGCCGTAGACGGCGGTTTTGGAGCGGAACCCGAAGGAGCGGCGGGCCCTGACGATGGCCACGTAGCGGTCCCCGCTAATACAGGCCAGCAGCAGCATGCCGCTGTACAGGTTGACGCTGTAGGCCGAGCGGAGGGCCTTGCAGGCCGCGGGGCCCATGGGCCAGGCGCTGCGCTCGTTGTGCGCGATGAAGGGCAGCGCCAGCACGAAGAGCAGGTCCGAAACCGCCACGTTGACCAGGTACACGTCCGTCATGGTCTTGGCCCGCTTGTAGAAGACGTAGGTGGCGATCACCACGCCGTTGCCCAGCAGGCCGAACACGAAGATGGCGGCGTGGACGTAGGCCTGCGTCAGGAGCTGCGGGGGGGTCGGGTACACGTTGCACGGCTCTTCATCAGGCCCGTCCGTACTCATGCTGAAGTCATCGTAGTTCACAGTTCCATTATCCATTATCCCAATCTGCAGAGGAACATCAGAATCAGAATCAGAAATACTTTAAAAATCCCAGAGGGAAATTATTTGTGTTACTAGCTCCATAAATAAAACAAAGGCATATATGTCTATACATATGTACATATGTGTATACAGTGGGGGAAATAAGTATTTGACCCCTTGCTGATTTTGCCGGTTTGCCCACTTACAAAGAATGCAACGATCTATAACTTTAATCATATGTACATTCTAACAGTAAAAGACAGAATCCCAAAGAAAATTCCAGAAAATCACATCATATGAATATATAAAAATTGATAACCATCTGATGAGGAAAAATAAGCATTCTTTGTAAGTGGGCAAACCTGCAAAATCAGCAAGGGGTCAAATACTTATTTCCCCCACTGTATATACAAAATTCCACATAGAATACAGATAAATGTATACATAAATAACTATATGGATGTATATAGGTCTATATAAGTAGTGGTGATAATGTCAATAATTAAGTTTGACTCTCAGAGGGAGGCGTTGTACAGATTGAAGACAACTGCAAGTGATCAAACAAACAATCCGCCCATCTATTAAATAAGGGCTCCTAACTCAAGGGGTGGACCAGCGTTATGCCAAACATCACTGGTTCATCTTGTAGTGAGAACGAGTCAATTACAAATTGTATCTTTAAGCATTCTTCAGCAGCCTGTTGCAATTATATACTTGCTATTCCTGCTGGAAAGCACCAAAGAAACTCAGTTTTACAGATATAAAACAGGAGGTCTTCACTGACAAGGTGGTTTTGGAGGAGGACCAAAGAAGAACTGTGAGGCCTCAAGAAACCTGTACACAGCATTTGACTATAATACGAAAAATATATATTTTTTTTTCTGAAAACTCCAGCAATGATCTGACACAGAATCCGAGAAATGCATTTGGACCATCTACTGTTGATCATCTACTGTTGATCATCTACTGTTGGTTCAAGCATCATCAGAAATGCTCTCTATGGGAGGCTGGCCGTTAAGAAGCAACTCTTAAGGAAGGGAAACAGGAAGAAAAGGCTGAGCTACACCAAAGGAAACAAGAAGTGAACTGGTTGAGCACTCAACACATTTTTTTTTTTACTTGATATACTTTAATTTTTGTTTGCTCAAGTTTAGAGAATTCTTTCCACCTATTTCTTGTTTTTAGCTCAATATATAAACAGAGGAGGTGTTCAGAGGTAATCACAAAACACATTGCAGTATTTCAAGAGACACATTTGATGCTTATTAACAACATAAAAATTGAAAAAGGTAATAATAATAAGTTTCCAAAAAGTAAAAACTCTTTGTTAGAGCTGGTAGATCGAGGTTCCTAATTTTTAAATAAGAAATGCATTAAACTCCTCTGAGATTATATCCAAATTTCATTATTTTCAACTGAAAAATCCAGAAAAAGTGATTAACTACAAAGTTTAATTACCAACCAGAGTAAAAAATGAAACATTTGTTACCAAAGTGAGAAACATCCCAATGTTGGGTTTAAATTTCCGTCTGTGTTATGCCCCTTTACACAATACAGCTAATGCTCTACTTCAGCTCTTCCTCTTGGTGCCACTGACCTGATTTGAGACAAAAAATTGACACAATCAGCAGCAGCTTGTCACGCTTCATCTGATCTGAGGCGCCGATACGGCCCTTATCTGTTACCATCGCAGAGGTTTTACTGGAAGATCGAAAATCAGCACAAGTGTAGGTAGATCAAAAGTGGGTTTTCGAGTTTTTTGTCGGTATCCGTGAGCAGAAAAGTTTACATGTATACACAGAGATGTGCTTGAAAAAATGTGGAAAATGTTATTTGTGACCATCAAAGTGACATCATGGATGGTCATTTCAAGTTGAGTGTTTCTCTATTTTAGACCAAACAAAGCATGTTAAATGTTATGAAATACTTTCACAAAGCTGTTTTTTATGTAAAATTGCATTTGTGGCATGTCAATCAATGTAATAGTTTACAATAAGGCTCATAAAAATGAACAATCTTCCCTCAGATCTTCCAATCCATAAAATTTAGGAATGAGTGACTTTGTAGATTTGGGTGGATTGCTCAGAAATCTTTATGAAATTAGTATTTTTTAAATGCTTTTTTAAAATTCTATCTATCTAAACTAGAACTATTTCACCACCAAACTAGAAAAAAAAGATACGTATAGAAGCTCATCTCTGGTTTAAAAGATGCATTTGTAACTGGCCAAAGAAAACTTGAGTGCTACTTTTTTTAGTCGTAGAACTGGTGGACGTTGCTCCTTGTATGTAAGAAAACTCAACAAAAAACTGCCAACAGCTTTAAAGAAACCTGCACTTCTAATGAAGTGAAATTAAAAATCTATCAAAAAGTCTGAAGATATCTCCATACCTGATAACGCATGGAGATGATTATGGTTTCATTTATTTTGTAATCTGGGTTTTAATCAGTTACCACTCAGTGATGTCGGGGTGTGCAAAGCCAGTCCTGTTCTGGAGATTTCCTTCTTTTAAAACCCTGATTTAGTCGAATGAATCTCTTCAAAACACTGTTAAGTTCTGCACAAGCCAGAATATTCTAAATAGTTTTGTCTTTGCACGTCTTTAACACATGTTTTAAGAAACAAATATTTCAAAGAAAGATGATCCCTCATGACAGGACTTCCATTTGCAACCAAACAAAAAGGTCATGATACCTTAGGCATTTACAAAGCGGAATATATTTTGTTACTTATCTACAGGGGAAGATAATACAATAGAAAACTTTGAAGAAGCAAAAATGTGAGAACTCAAAGTGCTTTGCTCTCATGTTTTGCAGAACTTTCATTCCAGTAACTTTTCTGGCTTTGCTCCCTTTTTAAAAAATAACTTAATTGCTCATTTTTAGGTATCATCCGATTATTTTCAGGTGATAAAGTTAAAATTGACCGCGTTACAAACAATTACAGGTGGCAGCCGAACAGAAAATGAAAGGAAAGCTATAGCAGCTGCTATTGTCTGAACAGAAAAACACGTACCTTGCAGAAACACTTTTATTCTGGATGTTCTCCGTCCCTCAGTGAGATGAAACAGTCTCCCGGAGCACCTGAGCGTCACTTATGCAACCGCTGCTCTGGAGGAAAGCGCTCACCACCGAGTTCTGAGAGAAAAAAAAAACTCAAAAGCAGAAGAGGATGAAACTAAAACCACATTCTGGTGGTTTTTTAGTGTAAGTGCCGCTCGGAATGTTTTTTTTCCTGCAAACCCATAAATACATCGCTGTTATCTGCCAGCTTCAGCCTGACCTCTGTCATTTAGAACCCCCCCCCCACACCCCCCCCAGGCCCCCCCCATTGTGTTCCTCGTTTTCAGTTAAATCGGCCTGATTTGTTCCCATTCCTATTTGCACCTTTTGACCTCTTTTAACAGAGCGTTAAACAAAGACGGTTTGGAGGAAATTCCTGTAAAACCTATGAACTTGTTTTAAATTTAGACAGATATTCATCATTTATAGTTTTCTTTTTAAAAATATGATTAAACACTTTTGAAATGCGGAAGGCTTGAAAGCACTGAACAAAGATTTGTTATCTGCTCAATCTCACTTTCCGTTTCTCAACACATGCTCGTTTTACAAAAACTCGCTCTGAGAAACTGACCTCAAACCTCAACTGATCGGCTTAAAATTTGCTCAGTTTATTTTGGTTATTTTTCAGTACTTTTACATCCTTCCTGTTTTTGGCCTATTCTTGTCTTTTAGGAAATAGACCAGCATGATTTTTCTCTCTGCTGAGAACAAGGCCTCCACAAACCAAAGAGTACACTGTATGTGGCATTCAGTGCTGAAATAATTTCATCTCGATTCTTCACACAGTAATTAAATATCCAGTGAGACGGTATCACAGTAAACATGCAGCATTTCACGATGTCATTCCAGACACTTCACACCGGTGAGTTTCATAAACAGTTCCCATGCTTGTGGGGGCTCTTTTATTCTGGAGGAAGAACACTTTCCTGCCATCCAGAAGCTGAATGACCAGATCTGATCATGAAAGATAATTCAAAATAACCCTTTGCGGACTTGTGATTCTATTTCACATGCATGAGATAAAAGATAATGCGCGTTTCGTACAGGTTTTGCATTGGAACATGACAGAAATCTGAATTTGACTATGCAAAAAATGGTATCTGAGCTCAGGGGTGTTTTTGAGCTGTGTTCTCAGTAGGTGGCAGTGTGAGCCCAGTCTTTGCTGCTGTCATCCTCACTTTCCTGGGATCCTTTCTGTTTTGGGTGCTGGAGACCGTGTGCCGCTGGGAGATGCTGTTGGGCTCCACGGTGTGTGTGTGTGTGTGTGTGTGTGTGTGAATGGATTAGGTGGATGAAAGGAACTGGAGCAGCAGGTGAGCCTTTTCCATTTGAAAGGAGGCGTTCAGGGACAAATGAGCAAGCCATCATCAGCCACATGGACACGTGGGAACTTTAGGTGTTTGCCATCTTTTATTCGTGAACAGCAAAGTGTGGAAAGGCTGTCAACTTTTGGTAGGAAGTAGTTTTTCCTGCACCAGTCCGTAAAAAGCATCACCTCCTCTCTGTAAAGAATCTGCCGGTTCTTCTGGATCAGGGCCTCTTCTTGTGTCCTCTAAATGCTTCATTTCAAAGTTAATTTCCCATGTTTGCACAAGAGCTGCGAGTTTAAGTAAAAAGGGGAATCATTTAAAAAGCCATGTACCTTATGGATTTGCATATGAAAAGGTATCTATCCCAGTTCATTCCTTTTGCTTGCATTATAAAAAATATAATGCTACTTGTTGATTCTGCTTTTGCTTTTTGTGATCTTTAACATGCCCAAAATACAAAGCCACAGAAACTAAAAAATGAACCTAAAGATGCTAAATTATTAGATTTTCAAATAAATTCTGGATATTTACCATTTCATCCAACCTGGTCTCTTTCATTGATTAAATTCACTCAGTATTGACCATTTTCACACCGAAATGTGCAGAAAAAAGGCTTCAAATCTGCAGGGAACCTCCCAGACTCCACCTATAAGCCTCATTATTCTGCTTATGCTGAAGTTTGCAGGCGGAAGTGAGCTGCTGCTGCTTTCACCTGCGCGCCCGTGAGCCCAAAACGCTCGTTTGCACGCGGCAACTCGCTCTGCAGGTTATCCCGGTGAATCACCCCCCCCCCCACACACACACACCCCTCCCACCCCTTTCAGCTGCTCTGAGGGACATGCATTTCCCTCTGTGAGCCGCCGCAGAGAGCAGGGGCTCCCGGGTTCTGCAGCATGAGTAAGTCCGGCTCGCTCAGGGTGAAGAACCCCTTCAAGTTCAAGTCTCCGGAGAAGGATGGAAAGCTGCCGAGGCGCGCGGAGTCCCTCAGGGACCCCCGCCAGGACCCCGGGGATTTGCACCCGGGCCCCGGGCCCCTCTCCCCCGGGGACGCGTCCCCCTCACCCGTCTCCCCGAAAGAGAAGAAGGGGAAGAGGCTGTTCCCCTTCAAGCTGAGGAGGAAGAAGTCCAAGAGCAGCAAAGACCCGGGGGAGGTCTTCTTCCCGGACACGGATGAGCTGGACAAATTCAACAGCCACCTGTAAGCAAAAAGAAAAACTTCTTTTTTTTCTTTCTATCTAAGCGCAGCAGCATCTCAGATGCGTTTGGCTTCCAGCAGCCATGTCATCAGAGTCTATTTCAGAAGTTAAATCTATTAATTGCTTGTTATTATTTGACAATCATTAGTGGAAGTCAGCAGCTTGAAGCGTTTTCCAGATATCTGGGGTTTTGGGGACCACTGATCTCCCTCTGAGGGTCCCAGGTAGTCCATGCAGAGCCATTTTGGGATTCAGAGCAGTGTTTGGTTCAGGCGGTTGGAAATGAAGAAACCACCAAAGCAAAAAAATCTCCCAGAGAGACTGTTTCCCGCCCCTGGCAGTTTGAGAAATCTGAAAGCTCTGGCGTTGAGGTGAACTAGTTTGGTCACGCACCTCTCTAAAGGTGTCACGTCTGAAAAATGCTGAGAGATGGAGGCTTCCTGTGGGACGGGGAGCCTGGAGGGTCTTAAATTCTGTCCCCTCTCAGGCAGAATTGGGGGTTGGGGTTATTTGGGAAATTAAGAATTAACTCAATTGTGTTCAGCTGCTCTTGGGCAAGACACGTGTCCTTCTCTGTTTTTGTTTTTCTCTGAGTTACCAATGAGCAGCAGCATGCTTTCCTCTGGGTTTTTCTGTGATTAGACTGTTGCACACGGCATTTAGAATCAAAATAATTGCATTTATTGTGTTGTTTTTTTTGTTTTTTTTGCGTGCTGTGCATGCTACCGTTGCCACATTAACCTACATTGACGCAGGCAACAACACAAAACGGCTTACAGCCAAAAAACCTGCTGTGCAGGTAGGAGCCATTTGCCAATCTAAATCTACATGACTCATTCCAGTTGATACAGTTTGGATCTGAGTAAATATGACGGACGGCCAAACACACACACGCATGACTCTGCGCCCATGTGACGGGGATGTGTGTGTTACAGCAACATTGTGTCCCCATTTTTGTCCTGTCAAAGACAAAAATATAAGAAAAAGTACAACAAATTAATTTAAATATGTTCTCCAGCTGGTCTGTTGTGATTGTGATCTCCATGGAGCTTTTTGGTCCCTCTTGGTTACTTTTTTCTGATGTGGAGATGCTCATATGAGTCATATTCCATGATGGTGGTTGGTCTTTTAAGGAGTCTCCCTATAGTTTGCATATCAAGTTACAGAAAAACAAAGGTATTTAGTTTTTTGCTTGGAGGCCTTTGGATTCCTTAAAACAACATTTTGTTTCCTGAAAAAGTGAAGTAAACGTAGCTTATTGGGATTGCTGAAATCTGGCTCATACGTACGAGTGTTTTTGGTTTATTGACGGTTTTCAGACGTGGAAATGGGTGTGACAGGAGTCAAGTGAGTTTTGGATGCCTGAAGAGGCATCAATGAAAATGAAAGGAGTGGTGCGGATTACTGAAAGAAAACTAGGATCAGTAAAGCTGTCATCACCACAAAAGTGACTGAACTTGATAATATACAGTATCTGCCTTTTCTGCTTATTTATATTTATATATATATATATATGTGTGTGTGTGTGTGTGTGTGTGTGTGTATAACAGTTGGCATATATGTTTTTTCTAATGTTTACAGACTAAAAATATAAACTAATGTCCAAGCCCTTTAGTTCGGGTCAGAGTCCGGCTGTAATCTGCTCAGTTTCAACACAAACCGGGCAAATGTCCATTTTCCGTGAGGGCAGGGAGTGTGTGATGGCACCCAGAGGTTTGCCCAGCCTCAGTGTGTGTGTGGAGAGGAGGAAACGCTCGGGCCCAGAAGCATTCAGAGAGTCTGTGTCCGCTGGGATCTAATCTAAAGGAGCAGATAAAATGACCGACCCCTCGGTGAGAATCTGGACTAACAAACTGAAGCCATTCCAACCAATTCTGAGACCATCGCCTGTGGTCTAAAAGCAAAACAGGGATTGGAAAGTAATTTCCTTTTAATCCGGGCACTTACCCAACATGTTTGAGTGGAACATGAATCCTGAATGAGACGCACATAAAAGCTGGTGACTAAACTTTCTTGGAGACGATAGGCTTTATTTATTTCTTTGCTCTCATGAAGATTAATGGATTGCTGTTTAAACTCTACTAATTGTGATGGTGCCTTCAGACCGTCTGCATCCTATGAGGTCTGATCCAATTTAATCTCCTCCTGAATTCTGGTCAGGTCCTGTCAGGTTGCTTTAATCTGCCCGGGGCACGGTGACAGTGGCAGATTTCAGTGGGATTTCGTCTATGTTAAACACACCTTTTTCTGTTTATACAATCCTGATTTGGAGGAACTGTCCCAAAATCTGGTGGCACTTCTGGAATTTTATCATCCATTCCTCACTGACCTTCACTGGCTACTGAATCTGAATGTTTCTAATACAGAGTAACTTCTGATTCTGCAGCTTTTTGTTGTGAACTCTGTCATTTAGGCCTCTTTTATCAAACCCAACAAAGACTGGTCATATGTCGACAGTCACTTCTCACTGCTCTGAAGCCGGACTGTTGTTCCTCTATTGTAAATCATCATGAATTCATTTCCTGTGCCAGAGCTGGTTGTTTGAGTCTTTTTCAGTTCGCCGCCTCGTCATAACGAGGCCGTTGTGATGCGGAGGATAATAGAAGTCACTTCACTGACGAGTGATTCAGCGTTGGGCTATTCGCTGCTGAAAGACCAGATCTGCAATCCCCAGACTCACAACGGGAGAGGCTTTGGACTGTTGGACCGGAGCTTTTGTTCAGCGTAGCACATACACACCTGTCTGCAAGTGCATTTCCTTATGCACGGCCAAGCTTTCAGGGATTGTGCGACACTGCAACTGTTTGTGTGTCTTGAAAATGTGAGTGGGTCTATAAAAAATCGCTGTTTGTGTTGTTGATGGCCAAACGTAATCGAGCTGAAGGCTAATGCGAAAGGCCTTATTCACTGAACAGCTTTAAAGGGAGAAAGGTGTTCATGTTCTTCTCTTTTTTCTCTTTTTTTTACCTAAGACACCTTACACAAGTCACTTAATCATTCCTGGATCTTCGCGTCTCAACACATCTGAGTTTCCTCTGAATGAGCCCAACTTGCCCCCTGATCTCGATATTTCCAGGACTTTTTTCAAACTTGTATATTTTAACATGTGAGATAAAAAAAACTAAGCGCTGTTATAGTTTTAAAGGCCGCGGACAACCCCACAGTCCACATCTACATAAAACCGATCACTTCCTCACATGTTCGACCAGCTGCTGTATTGAATATGTCGCCCTGATAGGATCTAAGGAAGTTTAGTGAGAATGTCTCATAATGCATGCACTGAGCAGAGAGCTGGGCCAAAAACCAAAAACAAAGCCAGTGCTTTCACACATGAAGCTTGTCGCTCCAGGCAGCAGGATGTGAAATGTGGCCGCCTATAGGACTTTCTTTCTTTTTCTTTTTTTTTTTCTTTTACAAGCTTGAAACTGGTTTCTGGATGGAGAAGTTTCTGCTCTGACTGTTGTCTTATTTTTCCATCACAGACTCACACAGAGCTCAGTCTTGCTTCTCTAATGTGTGACTCGTTGGGGAACAGAAAGCAGACACGGGCGGTTTTCATAAGCCAGGTGTGATTGAGAAATGTCTTTCTTCTCGCTGCCATCGACGGTTGATGTTGATGGATTTGAACAAATGAGATATTCTGTGTAAAGAAAACAAACAGACAAAAAAAAACTGCCCTCTATTAATGCCTGCCAGCTTTAACTGGAGCCAAATGGAAAGGAGGCAGGCTGTGACTAACACGCTGAGTTAAGAGCTGCAGATGCTAACTTCGGTTCTTCCACCAGAGTTAGTGTGAGAAGAACGGGCAGGAACACAGAGACTCCGCTACGGAGCCAGGCTTTACATATTCAGATAACGCTTATCGTGGAATTTGGGCCTATTTGCACAGCTGAATGTATCTGGACCAGGTGGAGGAAGGTTGTGATTCATTTAGAAAAATCCCCATGAACTGACTAGGGTGCCAAATGTCCACCATTTGTAAGGTTCCTCTATGAGTCATTACAAAAAACTCTATGCTTGTCCTCCATTTTCTTTGACTTAACAAGTTCTACTGATGTATTGTGCTTTTAGTTCCTTTCTAAAAGTGGTTCCCTGGACTGACCCCTCCTTCTGGTCCAGTCCTCCATCTGTGAAAAAGCCTTAGGTCAGATCTGCATTGGTTCAAATGTTTGGTTTGAGCTTTAAGAATGAATATTAGCCGTGTTTACATTTTTTCAGGCCATTTTGCTGAGATTGTCGTGCACACAAAGAAATCCGGAGCCCTTTAAAAGTTGAAGAACTCCATGGTGCATAATGCAGACACCTGAAGACACTTTTAGCAAAGCAGCCCCAACGAATAAGTTGCAGCTCTTCTCCCAGTAGGTTATCCAGTGATTACTCACTCTGAGATCACATTAAACCCACAGCTGAAAACGGCTCTGCAAATTGCAGCCTTCAGCTCCTGGTTTACATCCCTGTGGTAAAAAAAAGTCTTTTGGAAAATGTAAGAAATCAACCGTCTCTTCCTATTCGAACTACTAGCTCAAATTAAATTAAGTGGTCACCCTTTAAACAACGTTTTCCCTACTTTGATGTAAAAAATTATTTTATTCTGATGCAGGAGGCTGGAATTAAGATTGTTTGAAGTCAGGGACAGATGAAATTTGAGGACAGTCGTCATGTGAGTTTCAAAAACAACAGAAACATTTGGCCTAAATGATGCCCAGGAAAAGGCCAACATTTTTACTTTCGATGTTGATGTCGGATGTCCTGCTGGAGATGTTTTAAGGATGTAAAGATGAGGGAATGAATGAGGGGCTGTGAGAGTCCAGGTGGCCACAGAGACCCAAACAACCACACACTCCCATTCACTCTAAGAGGCCATTTTGGGTGTCTAATTAGCCGGAGTACCCTTAGAAAAAATCACACAGGAACAGGGAGGACGTGCAAACTCCAACCAAAAAGGTCCCGGCTGACGGTAAAACACTTCTCAGAAAATATCCCAACAACCTATGTGTCAGCAGAAAAAGTGCATGAAGCAACAGGCCTGTTTGCACAGCGTCTCAGCCGCTGAACTCAACTGAACCGTGACCCGGCGGGAACGGTGAGAACGCCGTTCAATACGTCTCTGTGAGAGAGAGGGATTAAGCCAGAAAACAGGAACGGGACGAATTTCCCTCTCCCTCCAAAATCAACATGTCAGCCTCTGACTCTCTGCAGGATAGGGAGCAGGAACTTCTGAGATCTGGCCCGATAAAAGCTCTAAAACATTCCCAAAACCAGTTTTCCTGGCTGTTCTGTGGGCTCTGGTCCGGATGGAGGTGGACCCCCCCCCGATCTGGCAAACCCTCAGCTTCTCCTTCCTGGACTCCCTCATGCCCTGTGTGGCTCTCTTACAGACAGCAGCTGCTCTGGATTCGTTTACCAAGTCCATGTTGGACACGGTTTACTTTGGCTTCCGGTATTTTCTCAGAAGAGCACATCTGAGCTTCTTCTCACACTAACTGATATTCTTTTTTAAAGCTCAAACCAAACATTTGAACCAATGCAGATCTGACTTAAGGCATTTTCACAGATGGAGGACTGGACCAGAGGGATGCGGCAGTCCAGGGAATCCCTTTTAGAAAGGAACTAAAAGTGCAATACATCATTAGAACTGGTTAAGTCAAAGCAAATGGAGGACAAGCATAGAGTTTTTGGTAATGAGTCATAGAGGAACCTCACAAATGGTGGACATTTGGCACCATAGTCAGTTTAATGGGGATTTTACTAAATGAATCACAACCTTCCTCCACCTGGTCCAGATACATTCAGCTCTGCAAATAGGCCCAAATTCCACGATAAGCGTTATCTGAATATGTAAAGGCTCAGAGTCTCTGTGTTCCTGCCCGTTCTTCTCACACTAACTTGGAAGAACCGAAGTTAGCATCTGCAGCTCCTAACTCGGCGTGTTAGTCCTTCCCATTTGGCTCGGGTTAAAGCTGGCAGGCATTTAGAGGGGGCAGATTTTTTAGTTTTTTTTTTGTTTTCTTTACACAGAATATCTCATTTGTTCAAATCCATCAACATCAACCGTCGATGGCAGCGAGAAGAAAGACATTTCTCGATCACACATCGCTATTGGCTTTGTGTGTCTGGTGTTGGAGGAGCATGAACACTGAAAACATGAAACCACCACAGAGGGGGATTCTCCATTCAGAGCCCCGGCTAAAGCTTCTGTTGGGCTTTTTCTATTGGTCCGACCCAAAAGTCTTTCCAGGCTTCGTTCTTAGAGCGAGTTCCCCTCCATCAGCAGCTCCCTCTGACTAACCCCCCCCCCGTGGGCCAAACTGAGGGTGAGTCAGCGGCTGAATCTGTTCCATCCCTTGTTTGTTTGAGTTTGTTCGGTAGCAGCTGCCGAAGCCTTTCAGATTCATTTCTCCTTTATTTGTTCCTGAACAGTAAAAGAGGAATTTGTTCTGACGAGTTGCTCCTAATCTCAGAGCAGAGAAGCTGCAGGAGATTTTGCTCTCTTTGTAGTTTCTGCCTATACATGCGTTTGGCCCGTTCCGTACTTTTATCTCCTATAGAGGATCAAACAGAAGCAGCACTTCAGGCTTATTGTTGCTTGTCCAGAGATGAGAGAAAGGAAAGTTCTGCTTGAAACTATTTGAGGTCAGGCTAGTTTGACTTTTTAGCTGACCTTTTTTGCTTTGTTTTTGGGTGGAGTGAAACAGTGGGGATCACAACACGAGACACTTGTTGTCTTTGGTGTGGGGAAATAAGGATCCTCACCAGACTCATTGTTCTTGTTTTGTACAATTCAGAATCAACCTGCAGATGTGTCAGAAAAAAAACATTTTACAGATTGAGTTTGATCTCCACAGATATTGTTTTGGTTTTTATACACTTTTCCTAATTCTGATGGTGTTGCCTTATTTCATGTTTCTCATCTGACAATGGACACCAAGTTAGCTCAAACAGAAAAACAAATATAAAGTTGAACTCGAGGTCAGAGAAAAGTGATCTTATAGAATGTTTTGACGTGTAGGAGCAGCATATGTATTGACTTTTTAAAAAAAAGTGGTTCTGTCACATTCTGATGTTTGGATAAGAGCCATTAAGGATTGACTTGGTACCTTGTGACTTTACCTTGCCATGAGTGGAACCTGGGGCCCCGACAGGGGATAATTAGGCAAAACAAACTGCTTTTAATGATTCCCAGCGTAATGGGCTCATTCACAGCTCTTACAGTGTCACAAAACGTGCTCTCACTGTGTTTATGAACAGATAAAAACTCTGTGGTCTGTTTGTAGTCGTTAATCGAGACGAGATGTGGCATTTGATAACATGAGGTGATAAGTGTGCGTCTCATATCTCACAGTCACTGTGAAAAACCCCCCCCCCCCCCCCGCTAAGAGTTTAGATAAGATGACTATGAGGTTAAGCCTAACAGCCAACCAAGTCGGAAACTGTTCACCTTTCCTTACGAGTTTGTTTTCCTCTTCGCTAAATAAAATCCCGAAGTAAGCAGTTGCCATTGAGTTTGGCCGACATGAGAGCAAAGCATTCCTGGTTAAAGTCTCTCAGATGGTGTGGTTATAACAGAGGAGCTTTGTCTGAGGCGGAGGAGTTTTTAGGCAAGTCGGAGCTGGTTGGTGCCTGTAGACTGAGCGGGGAGCCCGAATCTGCGTCTGGAAAACAGCAGAGGTCACGTTCCCCCCTCAGCCTCGGCCTCAGTTCTTTGTTTTTCAGTCGACCTGTCGCTCTGCAAACAGAGCTCTAGCCCTCCACCTGACTGACACTTAGCCCGGAGGCCATCAGCCATCAGCCATCGGCCGCTCTCTCACCTCTGAGCATAGATTCTGCAGCTCCGTGTTTGCCTGTTATCTTACATTGAACATGTTTGACTTCAGAGTTCAAGAGTGTTGACTTATCCATTTGCAAACAAAGGATTGGAAGGCTTTTCGGGTTAGACTAATGACATGCGCCTCACTGTTATTGGAAATAAAAGTTGAGAGCATTCGATGCTGCCTCCGACCTGCAGACCTTTATCTAGTTCTACGTCTATCTGATCATTAAAACAAGTCTTGGAAAAATATTTCTCCAAGCTTTTCTAAGGTAATTTTTTCCTGCTCCATCCAGTCTTTGTACTGGACCATTTCTATAGGAGGACTGTGATTTTAATGTTTGTTTAGCCACTCAATCATTCAAGGATTTAAAAAAAAAAGGCTCATAACGCAAGGGATGAACCTCATTTATTCAGGAGTGTCTAAATACTGTCAACTTTTCACAAAGAAACATGCTTAATCGGCAGTTATTTTGATGACCATGTGAAAGAGGAAAGATTCTCCATAACTCCACAGATCTCAGGTGTTGCAAAAACCCCAGGTAACCTCCCTGAGGGCGTTGAGCTTCTTCTGTGGTGACGGTCGGCCTATGAACCTCCCCACGCTGCTATAAATCAGCCCTCCCGCTGCACGACAGGGCCGTGACATCACAGGTTGCCTCTTACCTGCTTGTGTCGGCTTGATCGCGTCGTGGTTGCGACTTGATTTCCTCCTGGCTGCATTTGAATGACAGAAACCGGCTGTTTTTCTCAGTTTGTTGAAAGACGGCGAGTCGTTAAAACGCCTCGGGAAATTTTGTATAAGTTGATGTGCATCTGAAGGGAATTTATGGCTTTTATCAGCGTAAGGGAGGGGTCCAAGCTGTGTGTGAAAAGTTTGGGTCTGCATGCACACAGGCACAAAACATGAAAGAATAAAGATTTACTTTCAATCTGAAAGGAAATGAGTAAAGACACAGAACCAAAAAGTACAGTAATAAAACCAATAGATGCAATAACAGGTGATCTGGGGAAATGCTGGACCATGAACATTGAAGACTAACTGAATCCATGTGAAATTGCTGTCAAAAGGCCAAAGACTCATCTTATTTTTTTATTTTGTCCCTGCTCTGAGGACTGATTTCCGTACACACGGATGTCGGGAGTTTTAGAAAGAGGCTGCACGTGGTGCAAAGGTGACTTTGTTATCTTTTAAAAGCAGGCTTAAACCCACTGATCCCACTCTGAATTTTGAATGTTGCAAACTCCCCCAAGAAAATGCATGGACTCCTCCCCGCAGGCCTCCTCCTCACAGCTGGGAGGGACTAAGCCGTGAGCCCTGGAACCCAGGAGGGAACTCAAGCCTGCACAGATTAGAGAAGGAAAAGAGGAAAAATGGAAAAATCCTTTTAGAATAAGGTGGTTGGCCTCATCAAACTGTTGACCATAGCAAATTATCAAATATTAAATTGATTTGAGTTACTAATGGGTACAATCTTGCTTAATGAATCATGTTAATATCTATATGATCTTTTAAATAAGAAAAACAAACCACTCCTTTATACGAGGACACAAATTTGATCAAATTAGGTGTTTATTCATAATAGTTTTGTCTCGAGTTTTCTGTCTAACAGATAAAAAAAAAAGATAAAAATGCTTCAAAATGTGAAGTTAGCTGAAAAACAGCCAGGCTCTGCCCCCTGGTGGTAAACACACGCTATTGCACAGACTCCTGTTTCTCCCAGCTGTGTCCTCACATACCTGACAATTAAAAATGAGTTTATTTTCCTCCTTCTCATTCCTTTTGTAATGCTTTTGTTTGAGAAAAAAAAGATTTGCATATGTGTCTTTTTTTTTTTTTTTTTTCAACTTTTGGTGGAAGGTTGAATCTCCTGTACTTTCTGTGTAAATCTCCGTTGCTGTTGCACTGCTCGTGCACCAGCGTGACACGTGCAACAGCAGCCCCCCTCATGTCAGATTGGGCTGCTTGGCTCTCAGACTGGGTGTGATCCACCAGGAGGACGGCCTCTCCCCCCCTAAAAATAGAAACACCTCTTGACGCCTCACATATTTACTAGAATCCTCTGCGGTGCTCTAATTGCCCGGCCGTTGGGGGGGGCGGAGGCGTTGGGAAAAAACCTCAGAGCTGATAACAGTTAGAGCTGTCAGCACCTCCACAGCAGCAGGCCGCACACCGGCGTGCGTCTTTAAGCTGCTGTTTGCTTTTTTGGGGGATTATGACAGGCGTGGGACGGCCCATTGTCCTGGGTTGTACCTGTGTTTCTGTAGCTTAACTTAAAAAAAAAAAAAAAAAGAAGAACCTGTATTAAATTTTCCAGCCTGATATATCTGTTTTTTTAAAACTCGCTTAAGTTTAAGAACAAATGCATAAGAAAATGAATATCGTGAGCGAAAAGCAAAGTTTCCCTGCAAACGTAGAAGTGTGGAAAGACGCTGTAGACTGAGAGGAGAAACAAAAGCCAGTGACATAACATCCTCCACCCCCTCTCTCTCCCTCTCTGTCTCCGTTTGCTTCCTGCCTCTCTCGACCAGGAGCTTCGACCAGATGAGCGTTTCCACAGAGTGCAGCTTCCGGAGCGAGGCGGACTGGGACCGTCAGTCCGAGTTCTCCTCCACGGTCAGCCTGGACATGGCTCAGCCCGGCAGCCCCCTGTCGCCCTCCAAGTTCTTCAAGGTGGGTTTTTTTTTAAATCACGTTTGTTATCAGCCTGTGATCATCTGGATCTGATATTCAGAGGTCACAGATTTGTGTGTCTGTGTGTGCAAAGGCAAGTTAGGGAGCAGGCTGGTTTTTGCTGCTACACACTTAATATATCCAGCAGCCCCCTCAAATATTTGAATACTAGATACATGTTAGCCTTATCTGTAAATGAAAAAATAATCAAAATTGTGGTTTAAAGTATAAGTTGCTGGTTGGTGCACCACCAATGAGCCTAATGTGAATGATTAATGTTCTAATTGTTTCCAGTCACCTTAATTAAAACAGCTCATTTTGGTTTGTTTTTCACCATTTGAAATGTGGCCGATGCTCATTTACTGTACTTGTTTTTTTTTTTGCTGCAAATCTACAAATTTTATTGTTTTAATAGACGTTCACGTCATTTTTAATTTCCAACATGACCCATAAGATTGTGTGTCAAAGGCTCTTCATACTGTCAGATGAAACCCAGATTTTTTGTTAAGAAACAGCGTGTGTGCTCACTCATAGAGTAGAAAACCTGGGATGGGTTCACAAACAATCCACCGTTGATCCCCAGCTCTGCTGAAATCGAATAGCTTTAGTCTGTGAATATTTGGATCAGAACCGGCTGAGGTGAGTTCTATTCCAAAATGTGAAAATAAATAAAAACAGCTCTTAGCCGGCCAAACCTGGAGTCGAGATGCCCTGTGGGCAGCTTCTGTAGAAGGTCTGGACACGAGCAGAAAGCGGTGGACAAATCTAGAAAAACATGCAGATTTCTAAAAGATGGTCTAAAAGTGAGTTGCTAAATTAACCGGGGAATTATTGAATATTCAAATAAAAACGGTCCAATATCTGATTGGCTCACAGAACACAGGCCTGAATGTTTTCAGCCAGAGTAACAAAAATAATGGGAATGGCATATTTAGCCATGCGGCAAAGTGGAGGGGATAGAATAACCCGGAATATCAAATTAGGTGGGTGTGACCCCACCCTAAACAAGGAATAAGCTCTCTGTTCACAAACATTCTCCCCTCCATACTGCAGCTTTCAGGAAGTCCATGAGGACAAAAGAGTTCTCACACTCAGATCTATGTCATTGTTAATTAAACAATAGATAAAATGGTTGGAATTACCTCTGTGATCCACTTTAACATTTCATCTAATCTTCATACATCAACCTTTTACACTTAATTTGCGTTTCTACGGAATTCATTCATTCATTCTTTCATTAAGTTGAATAAAGTTAAATATTTCCTTTTCCTGATTTGGTTTCCAAACTCTGTTTTTGTGCTTGATCTGTTTAGCACAACAATAGAATAAATAATAAAACCAGTTTTAGAACATTTTATAGTGTTGAATATTCAGCTTTCCCTCAATTCTTAATACACACACACTATATATATATATATATAGACTCAGACCTGTCAGTCTGGTCCTCCATGTTATGTTTGTTGATGGGACGGCGTTTCTAATTGAATATGTTCAGGAATTCGAGCGCGGCAGATTTATCGTTTACAATGTAAAGAAAGCGTTTCACGTCTCCTCTGTTTGTTTCTTGGCATTCGTCTTGTAATCACTGTTACGATTGCCCGGACGATGATAAAAATCAGTGCTTCTTTATTTTCCCTTTTTTTATTATGGGCTGAGATCAGAGCGTGAAGCGCAGCTTTGTGTGTGCCGATAAGGAAGTGAGGCGTAATGGACACAGATACGGCACTCTATCTCCACCTACCTGGCACCTGTAGCTGCTAAACAGCCGTAGGACTAACGCCACAGTCCCAGCTTTTCAAAGAGGGGCCACGGTTAGCCATTCAGGCCCAAACCTCCACAGATACCGAACTCTTCCCTTTGCCGATCGCGGTGGATTTGGGAATGACTGGACACCCTGGACGTGCACCCCCACAGACCATTTTAAAGCAGACTGAAGTTGGATTTAGTTGTTTTGTTTGAATGCAAACTTTAAACCCAACCCGAGCAAGTGGAAACACGTCTTTAGGACTAAAATGGTGAGTTTGTCTTAGAGATGTTCTTAAATAAACAGACATGTTTAAAAAGCCTCCCCTCAGAGCAGTGGGTCCTAATCCAGACTGGACTCAGGCACCTTTTTTGCCACGTGTTACTGTACAGCTCCTGTCTAAACAGTAACTTACAGGATCTTTATTGACTCAAAAAGCAGTAAGTGAAGCCCCAGTTAACCCGTGACCTGCTGATATGCTCGGCGGGAGAATGAGGAAGGGCTGAAGGTGGATCCACACCCCGCCCTTTTCGCTGGATTGTGAATTCTTTCAGTTTGTTTGTCGTGTGAACATGTCAACCGTCCCAGCTTGTATGATTTTTAGTCTGATGCAAATGGCCATGCCCTCGGGTCTGTGTCTTTGCTCACACACACTCCAACATGCAGCCAGTTCTTCCAGTTCGCTTCCAGGAGAGGATTTGCCTATTTTAGATTGATTCAAATGTTTTAGACACAGAAAACTGAAACAATTCGCCATCTTAGAGTCCAGGAAGTCAAAATGGTATGAAACCTTTTTCTGGTTTTTAATTTTTTTTTGGTCTGTGTTTCTTTTGGTGGTTTGGGCTTCTTGTCCAAACATGCAGTCTTTATTTTGTGACCTCATTGTGGCAGGTTTTGTAACGTGTGTGTTGTGACACTAAGGTGTTTCTGCTTTAGCTTAGACGTAAAGATCCTCTAGCAGCTTTGTGACTGATTGTTAAACCTCTCAAACCTAGAGATCAGTGTTTGCTTCCAAATGCTGTCTTTAAATGTTAAAAGCTGTGATGAGCTGCGTATCAGGCTTTTAACGTCCGCTTACTCAGTCATTCTGTTTGATGTTTCACCTGTCTTCATTCACCCTGTCCAGCCGGTTTTATTCTGTTTCTGATTTCTTTTTTGCGGTGAGCTGTTGGGAGTATGTCCAATTTTATTCTCATGACATCTTTCTCAGATAAAAAATCATCTTAAACTTTACAGCAGAATAAAATAAACCGGCAACAGGCAAAGAAAATCTGAAAAAAGGGTATATGCTGTAAGCCTTAAGCTGCTTTTTAAGAGTCATGGTTGCCAATCTAACACAGAAACAAGGGAAGAAAATTTACAGTTGAGGGTAAAGACACTGTCTTTGTTTTAAATCGGTTATTAGGAATCCAAGTTCAGAGCACAGCCTTTTTGAAGCTTTCATGGTCCTTGTCAGATCAGAGTCCCACTGGTTAACATCAAGGGGCAATAAAACTGGTGATCCGATCCGATTGGTTGTTGTTATAAGCTTTCATGCTGTATTTTGTGCTGTCTGAGGAAGTGAATGAGTCATTAAAACAGAAAGTCGAATGTACACAGGGACAATCATGTCTAGTTTAGTCTTTAAAGGCAGGAAGTTTTTTAAAAATTTTGATTGAAGAGTTAGTTTAGAAATCCTGTGAACGCTCAGTTTACTGACTTATCCTACAGTTGCTGTCTGAAATAAATGTAAAAAAACTCCCAATTGAAAATTAAACAAATCTCAATTTCAGTGTAGAACAGGCTCAAAAGTTGTAGAAATGTATCAAATATTTTAGATACAACAATTATGTCAAATAGTCAAAGGAAACATCCTCAAAAATGGACTAAAGCTTTTAGTTTTAGATTGACTTTATCTGTAATGAGCTTTTATTTCCTGCATTGAATGGTTCAGAGTACGTGGAAGACTTTTGTTATTCCGGGACACATACACATGGAGCTATTATCTGAGTTAAATTCCAAAAACTCTCCATTTGATTTAAAGCAGAGGTCAGACTGACATATGGTTATCATATTATTATTTTATTTCCGGCTCTTAATCTTCATGCTCTTCCTTAGTGGTTAGTGAGTTATCTCGTCATGTTTTTGACTCGGGTCTTTCAAAAGTGGGAATTGTTTAACTTTAGTCAAGGCTCATGAGCTCAAGTGAACTTGGGAGGATGTATGTTACGCTTATAACCCATTTTGTGTCACAGTAATTTATTTCATTTTCTTTAAGTTTTTGATGTACAAGGTGTGTAGAATGACGTAAAAACACACACCCATTACTTTAAACGCAGCTACTATTATTAGATATTCCTTTGTGTTTAATTCCTGTATGTAACACATCCTCTACCTCCTAATTAAGAGCTTTTATAACGTAAATGTATATCATGGATTGTAAGTTGTTACTTTCTGTGACACTCTCGAGGTTCCACACAGAGAAAAAGATGACCAAAACGTTTTACCTGTCCACTTTTAAGATTGAATCCTGTTCATGATTGTAAAACGACTGAGTGACATGTGTAATCGCAGCACATTTATGTTTTATATTCATGCTCTCTGCAGATTTTCATTACCCGGATCATTTTAAACCTGGAGCGGTTTAAGAAACAGGAAGTGAAATTCCTCTCATTTTTGTGGCGCAGCATTAGGCCACGTGTGTGCTCCGGAGCATTCCCATTAGTTTTCTCTTTCCCTTTCTTTCTTTTTTGGCCAGAAACAAACACATTGGCATCTTCCTTTCCTGCCTCATTATTCATCGTCATTTCGCTTGTTTGTTTTCAGAATTCGGAGGACAAAAAGGGGGTGTTGGATCGCATCAGCAGCTTCTTCAGCGGTCGGCGGAAGCGGAGCAGTGGCCGCCACCACTCGGACGCCTCCAGCCTGTCCGGTTCCCCGGCCTCCCCTTCGTCCCCGCGCTCGCTGGTGTCCGCCGAGGAGGAAGATGGCCAAAAGACTCCTACTCCCTCTCGGAAAGAAGGCCTCAGCCGGAGCTCCACCCCCAGCTCCCCGAGCGTGGCCTCCCTGGTGGACGGTGGGGTGGACGTCCCGTTTGCAGACAGCGACAGCAGCGGCCGCAGCAGCGTGAGGGAGGTGGTCGTGTGCAGGGTCAGCGGGGAAAAGGACTCTGGGAAGGGGGAGGAGCCCGAAACGGCAGCCGATCCTCCAAATTCAGCCTCCGATTTAGGCTTCGCGGAGTCAGTGGTGGATGAAGTTAGCAGGAGGCTGCAGGTTAACCTGGAAGAAAGGCTACTGACCCCTAATGAGGACGGCGTGGTCAGCCCCACCTCTCTGATGGCGCTCAGCGTCCCGGTTTCCATGACACCCGACAGTCCGCGGTCTCCGAATTTAACCTCAATAAGTTTGGCGTCAAAGAAAACCTTCGTGAAAGTTGGCGAAAAGGGGCACAGCACAGCGCTCAGAGGGATAACTCTAGGTTCTAGATCCTCCACGTCGCAAACGGTCAAAGCTCAGAAGGAGCAAAGCTCAGATGTGGAGAGTTTGGGAGTCAGGACTAGATCTCCAATATCCACCGGCAGCCTCTCCGGGGAAAAAGCAGCCACTACTCGGAGCCCTTCACCAGAGAATGAGCACGCGCCCGGAGGGGATTCCCCTGTCCAACTCCACAAAGCCATATGGGTGGAAACGCACCTGGGAGAGGAGGAGGAGGAGGGAGGGGTGAGGGAGAGGGAGAGGGAGGGGGAGAAAGGGAAGGCTAAAATAAAAGAGGAGGAGGAGGGGTTGAGAGCAGACTCCCCTCCTTGGCTGGCTGTACCTGCCACTGTCATACCGGAGGAGGACTCTGTGCTGCAGGACGCTGAGGGGAGCTTAACTTCCCCAACGGAGAGTTCGCTGACCGTTGGCAGCACGCCACCATCGGCTATCTGCCCGGCAGCGAATGAAGGGTTTCAATCAGCAGGCCCAGCCTCCAAACCAGCCTCTAACCCAAGTTCAGCTGAAGAGAAGCGCAACCGCGTCACACGCCGGACTGTGAATCTGCCCGCAAAGCACAGGGCTTCTGACCAGAGGGCTATTACTAGCCCGGAGTCCAACTTTGAAGAGGACGAACCGGGGAGAGAGGAATGCGGCGAAGACTCGACCACACAGAGCTCAAACGCAGCCCAGGAGAAAGTGTGAGTACCACCCCCCGTGTTGTTTTTTTCTGCGGTTAACGGAAGCTTTTGATCCTGGGAAAAAAGCATAAAAACAGGAGAGTTAAGCCCACATGCAACCTGAGCTCTGAGTTCCCATATTTCATTGTGCTGGGAGAACAATCGAGTTCACCTGAAGTGAGGCTCTGAAATATTCATGTGAAGTGCATCTAATCACCTACTAAGTTTCCCTAAAGTATAAACCTCACCTATGTTTTTTTTAACTATTTGATGAATTTCCTGTCACATTAAGGAAGCATGTGATAGAAGCCAGTATGAGTTTGTTTTTTGTGTATTCACCACTTTACTGACAGAGAGGCAGAAAGCAGCTTATGTAGAGGAAGTTTTGAAATACAGTGTTTACTGATGCTTCTTTTGATAAGAAAATAAAGTCAAATCTACTGTAAAAGGTTTGAATGAATGAATGAATGATTGAATGAATGCAGACGTTTATTTCAGATGTTTTCCACCACAAAAAGTGATCAGTAAACAGATATTACGAAAAGAAAAATCCCCCAAAACATACATATGCTACTCATTATTAGCTCAACACCACATTTCTTACCTATATGTTTCAACATAAATATGTAGGTTGGGTCTATATTAAACAAATAACATAATTAGGTATGTTATCATAAGCAGCCCACCTTTTTAAAGTTACATTTGACAGAATTCACATTTTATCCTATGTTTCCTGTCTCAACGCTAACTATAATAAACCTGCTATTCTCCGGAACTACTATTTAGTAAATGGATCAAAGAGTCTGTAGTGTTGATGTAGATTGTCATATCTATAATTAATCCATCATTCCTGTTAAAAGCACACAGTGTGCTGTCACACTGGCAACTGTTAGATAACCAAATGCCTCATTCTTTCCATTTCCTCTCTGACAGGCTGCCAACCCTCCAAAACAACAGAGAGGCTGAATTCAAAAACACTAACCTGGACCAGTCCCCCACAACAAATGATACCACACAGTCTGCCACCGGCCCCCCCGAACCCGTAATCCAAGACAAGACGGACTCGGATGTCTCCGATTTTGGAGACACCTCTGTAGAGCCCGAGATGTACAAAACAAAGCCAAAAGCTGCAGAATCTGGGGAAAAAAGTCAAGGAACTAAGCAGACTGCTTCTTCAAAACGAGCAATCAAAGCAGCAGAAGGTCAGCCTCCCTCAGCCAGTGGACCGAAGAGCCCATCGTCTGCGGCCGGAGGCAAGAATGTCCCAACAAAGGCGAAGGGCTCTTCGGAGGCCACGAAAAGGGAAACTTACAGTGTTCATCAAAAGGAACACAGCAGCGAGAAATCAGTTGCTGCGTTACCAGTATTAAAGGATCAAAGTGCCAGCAGTCCCTCGTCTCCAGCGAAGTCTAAAATCCCCAAAAGGTCGCCGTCGGATTCTGGCGTGAAATCACCGGTGACGCCCGATAAAACGTCAGTATCTGAAGCCCCAGGTTCAGCAGCCCCTCCCAAACTGCAAAAACAACCGAGACAAAAGGAAGCTGTGAAATCCACGACGTCCACCGTCAAAGTGGGCCGGAAACCAGGTTTGGAGGAGGCGAAAGGGGGAAAATCTGTTTCGGGAAACACTTCTCCCACAAAGTCCAGCAACAAGACGGGGACCAAGCTCATGAAGGAAAAGAAAGAAGACGACTGTGAGTCTGAAAACCTTTTAAATGGCATTAAGGAAGACGGGGAGCAGAAAAGTGTGGAGACAGGACCCCCTCCTGACAGAGGAGGCCTTGATTTAAAAGATCAGCTGCCAACCCATCTGGAGAATAGCACTTCGGTGTCATCAAAAAGTCGCTTACCCGTTTCTTCTCCGACAAAAACGAGCAACGATGCGTCTCAGGCGTCTGGGTCCATCTACAGAAAAGGCCTGTCCGGCCAGACAGACTCAAATAAAGCAGCAACAACCCAGAAGCAGAGCCCTGAGCGGGAGGGATCGAGTCTGGAGGAAGACAGACCAGGAAGTGAGACACCGACCCTGCTCCCAGAAAGCCCTCGTACAGGTAAGGGCACCATTTCTATCTCTGTAATCACCCAGTTCCTTTCCATTAATTACACATGTACAGAATTATCTATTAAGGCTTTGGAAACATGCAGAGGGAATAAAGTTTCCGTTCATTTTCAGTCTTTCATTTCCAGCGCAGCTGAGCAAACCTGTGTTTGTGTGCGTTTCAGGGACGGGAGGTGTGCAAACAGTGAAACCACCCAAACACCTTCCCAAGAGAGGCGGCGAGGAGAGGGACGTCCCGGCCGCCTCTCTTTGTCCGCCTGCCACAAAGCAAGACAAAACCGCCTCGCCGCGGCTCTCCAAGCAAAGCGACAACATCAAACAACAAAACAAGTCGCCCGTGAAGGATTGGGCTGAGACCCCGGCGTCGGGGAGCAAGCTTCCCACGAGAGAGGCTCCAAAACAAAAAGGCCAGAGAGGCCTGAGCAAGCCGAAGCCCAGAAACCTTCAACAATCATCAAACGCACTTACTGAGACGTCCGTCAACGCAAAAGACGTCTCCAGCGGAGGTCCAGTCGGGGATGGGGAAGCGATTGAAGCATGTCAAAGCAAAATAGAAGAAAAACAGACAAAGGAACTGGAGGAAACCAAAGCCATCAGCGCTGTTGGAGAGATTTCTGGACTCGGAAACAGTGAGGCGACCGTTACAGACGCTGCTCAGGAGATAGCGGAGGTTGTTACCGACCCGGGAACGGAGGAACAGCCAAGTCAGAAACCAGTCACAGATCTAGACGGTGTTAAAACGGAGCAGAACCAAGCCAAACCAGCTGGAGCTGAGGCTGCAGGGCAGGCGGACAGCGGCACACAGGGAGATGAAACCACGTCTCCATCAGAAGATAGAAACAATGATGGGGACGTTTTACAGAAACCAGATGCCACAGACATCAAATCAATCCCAAAGGAGGAGAAAAATGCTGAGGCAGCACCAGCAGATGATGGTGTAAACGACATCATGGGCAAACCCCCACCGGAAGACGGCGTTCATAGTGAGAAAACGATCGATTCCGACCAGAAAGGTGCCACTTCTGGAGATCTTTCCATCGGTGGAATGAATATCGTCACCTCTACAGCTGAACCCCAAAACGGTACTGATGCTCAACTGGCCTCAAATGATCTACACGGCGTTAAAACGGAACAGAACCAAGCCAAACCAGCTGGAGCTGAGGCTGCAGGGCAGGCAGACAGCGGCACACAGGGAGATGAAACCACATCTCCATCAGAAGATAGAAACAATGATGGGGACGTTTTACAGAAACCACCAGACGCCACAGACATCGAATCAATCCGAGTGGAGGAGAAAAATGCTAAGGCAGCAGCAGCAGATGATGGTGTAAACGACATGACTTGCAAACCCGTGTCGGAAGAAGGCGTTCGTAGTGAGAAAACGATCGATTCTGACCAGAAAGATATCACTTCTGGAGGTCTTCCCATCAGTGGACTGAATATCGTCACCTCTACAGCTGAACCCCAAAACCGTACTGATGCTCAACTGGCCTCAAATGACAGTGAACCAGAAGCTGTGCACTCAGGCACCTCTGGACCAGAAAGTACAGGGGTTTTGAGGGATCAATCCACAAATGAGAGTGGCAGTCAGTCCTCCTCACTGAGGGTGGGTTTGGTAAAGGATTCTGTGGTGGAGAAGAGAAATAAGGAGGAGGTTAACGGGAAAGCAGCTGAGGTTTTGGGCCTCGAAACAGAGACTGTGACTGTCCAAGAATTACCCAAGAATGTTGAAAACCAGATGAACACAGAGGCTCTTTTATGTGCAGGAGAATGTGAAAGAAGGGAGGAAGACTTGAAACCAAATCAAAAGCTTAATGACACAGCAGGAGAAGGCAGCGACTTACAGGACAGATCTGCAGAGCAGCTCACAGACGGACCGGTGGAGGGCAAAGCAGAGAAAGCAGACGCACATCCATCATTAGAGGAGAAACGCGTTCAGCCTGAGGCCGAGGAAGAACCCAAGGCAGTAGTTCCAAATGTCCCGATAGGCGAGAGGATGGAGGCAGAGCTGGGAAGGGGTGCAGCTCAGGAAACCGATCCACAGAAACGAATGCCTCCAGTAGAAAAGGAGGAAGAAGAGCAGCAGATGCAGATGGATGACAACAGAAATCTGAAGGACGAAGCAACTCCAGAAGAAACAGTCCTGAGCCCTAAAATGCTGAAAACTGAATCTAAAGATGAAAACAAGGAGAAGGTCATCATAACCAAGAAGCAAAGTATGGCGGATCAAACAACAGAGGCCCACACGGCAGGAGATGCTGAACGTCCAAATGATGACCTGCAAAAAGAAAGTGAGGATCTCAAAGCCCTGCAGAAGACATCAGAGAAACCCATTTTACAGGTGGGAGCAAGTGAAGAGCTGAAGACTTCAGGCAAAAAGGAGCCGAGCGCTGAAACTATTAAAGGTTTCAACAACACTGATTCATCAGAACAGAGTTTGGCCGGTGGGACTAAAAGGGATCAAGATGAAGACTCACATCAAATATCAGAGAAGGAACCAGAAAAGGAGAAAATTGAAAATGCCCAAAAGACAGAAACACCTGCAGAACTAGACTCTTTAGGCATCTGTAGTGAAGGAGCCAAAGAGAGGAAAGAAGCCCAGAGGGCGTCGGACAGTTTGGTCAAAGAAAGCAAACAACAAACCCAGACAACAATAACTGATGACAACAAGCACAAGAACATTACAGCATTAGAGAAAGACGGATCAGAAAAATCCACACGTCCACAATCTGACCCCAAACGGACTCCAGAAACCGTCAGAACTGAAACCTCAGAGAGCAAAGTCCCAGAAATAAAAGCTAAAAGCACAAGAGATCAGACGGTTGAAGAAGCTAAAGGTGACACTAAACCAGTTGAGGCATCAGGAGAAAGTCTGGGAAGTGAGACAGCAACCACAAATACAATACAATACAATACTGAGGTTCTCCAGGACCAGATGTCCAAACAGGTCAGAGGTCAAGGAGTTGAAACAACAGAACCAAATGAGAACAAACCGGAGGCTGAAGTCAGGGATTCATCACTGGAGAGTTTAACAAAAGACAAAGCAGCTGCGGATTCAGTCCAGAAGCCCGGAGCTGTTGGAGGACCAAAGCCAGTCCCAGTGAAACCAGATCAGAAATCTAAACGTCCAGATCAGGATCTGAAACAGAATGCAGAGCCAGTGAGGACAAACTCTCCTGAAGAACCAACGGAAAACAAAACTCAGGTGTTAGACCCTGCACCTGTCAGAGTGCAGAAAGCCGAGGCCGCCAAAGAGAATTCGGCAGAACTAATAGCTGGAATCAACACCCAAAAGGACAAAAGCGTTTCCCCTGTCGAGGATAAAGCCGAAAAACTACGGACGCCAGACAGAGAGCCCCCAGCTTCTGATGTCAAACAAGCACAGCAGTCAGAGACTCTAGCATCTGACGTCCAAGAAAAAACGAACGACGCAAGAACAGAGTCCACATCTGGAAAGAACCTGAGCAGGTTTAAAATAGAAGAAAAACAGCAAAGCCTGGAAAAAGTGGTTGAATCTGGACATAAAGGGGCAAAGGATGCAGATCAGAAGCGTGAAGAACAGAAGGCAGGTGTCAATAAAGAATTTAAAACCACTGTGGCGCAAAAGGAACAGAGATCAGCGACCAAACAGAAGCAGAAAGAATCCGTCCCCGTTGGTTTAGACGGCGTCCAAAAAGCCGGGGCAGCAGCAGGAACGCAGACATCCGGGGAGGAGAAGCTCCTACAGCCCAAAGAGCCTAAAGGAGACAAACGTTTGTCTCTTTCTAATCCACCGAAAACGGATCCACCCACGAGTCTCCAGCAAGATAGAAAGTCTCCATCAACCTGCCCAGATGTGGAACATCGGCATAAACCAGGGAAGGAAAACCGAAGAACCAGGTCTAAAAAGGCCCCCGGTGGGGATGACATTCAGGAGCCCGATGACATCCATGACTTTATCAGGAACATTAAGGAGGGCGGGATCCCCTTTTCGTATCCTCCCAAGAGGCACACCGTCAAAAAGTCCCGCTCTCCCCCTTCCGCCCTGCCGGCCATCAAAGAGGACCACTTTGAGCGAACGTTCGACCCCGAGGAGTTTCAGTTCGGCCTCCGGAAAAAGCAAAGCCTCTTCAAGGATCTCTCCCCGGCTATGGTGATCAAACAGAAAGCCGCCAGGAGGGAGGAACGAAGAAAGGAAGAAGGTTGCGAGAACAAAACTTCGTCCCAGGCTGTAAAAAGTCCCACTGAAGATGGAGGGGGGACGACCGGGACCGATGGCGGGGCAGAAAACGGGCAACGCGCTCAGCCTGGGAAGATGCCGTCAAGGCTGGAGAGGATGTCCATCATTTCCGGCTTGCTGAGCACTTCCCGGACCTCCAGGAAGACCAGAGAGGAGACCCTCTCCCCTGTGGGGCCACTGGAGGCCCTCCCAGCAGATAAAGGCAGCGGGGAAGGTGGAGATCCCAGCCCGGTTATGGGAGGTGGTTTGGGAACAGTGAGTGAGTCAGCACTTGGCTCCTCCTCTCCTCTTTATCTGCCCACATTCCCTGAGATAAAGCTGACGGATCATTTAGAGAAATACCTCAAGAAGAACAAAGGGGATTCAGACACCTCCCAGACCTCGTTACAGCAAACTAAACCCGACCTGAAGTCTGGTGTTATGGACCAGGTGGCAGATGTGCCCTCCCCAGATGTGGGCCTGAAGGGCCCCCCAGAACTGCCCTCCAACACAAACTACAGCCAGAAGACCTCTCAGAATGGACTCTCTATCTCTAAAGCTAAGGTAAGCATGACATAAACAAAAAGCCATTTCTGTGTTTCAGTGGGGAGTTTTTCTTTGAACTATATGTGAAAAACGCTAAACTTTTCCATAGTTTATCACCATGGCGACACACGTCCTGGTACGTATCCGGTTTCTTTTTTATGTCGTGCTATTGCAGCCAAGTCATGAATCATTTACAAGTAAGAACAAGACGTGCGAACATGTCCCGACTGTGGAGGTTTTTGAAAGCGGGATGTGATATTTGCATCAGGAGGCAAATAAAAGCAACCTATTCAAACGAGTGGGGGTTCATTCCACACAGTGTGTTGTTGTGTTAAAGATTGTCGAGTGAACAGAGCCACAGATTGTTGTAAAACACACGGAGAAGGAAGGTGAGAATCAGAAGTGGTGATTAGTGTGTGTTAACGGCTGAAATGCTTCTCATGCTATCTGACAGGTTCCTGCAGTACGAGGCTCCCACAGAAGACCTGGGAAGGTATACAGACACACACTCATGATTGTTAAACAGCAATTAGACGTTCCTGCTGATTGCTCTGATATCTCTTGTTTATTTAGATCGTCATACATGAGCATGCTCAGTTCGGCGGGGAGGCGTTTGAGGTCTGTGGCGATGTGGAAGATGCAACCGCCATGAGGCTATCCCCAATAATATCCATCAGAGTCATCAGAGGATGGTAGGGTTCTTCTGACTGTTTGTACATAGGGAAACCTACATCTGAAAGTGGGAGGAACTGTGTATTTTACCCTGTGGCTAAAATATTCATCTTTAAAAGTTGTTGTTTTTTTTTAAATCGTGAATTAAATTCTGTCTCTTTCCAGCTGGCTGGTCTATGAGAAACCGGGCTTTCAGGGCCGCATCATCGCCCTGGAGGAAGGCCCCACAGACCAGATTGTGAACATGTGGGCAGAGGAAGAGGGAAATCCAGAAGCACAAAACCAAACGGGTGAACCGGTTCCAACTGCACCGATGGTTATAGGCTCCCTCCGACTGGCAGTGCGGGTGAGTCACTTTCTAACTTCACAACTATTTTTAATTAACTGTCACTGATTCCGTCTTCTCTGTAACCCTTTTGTCCTTCTTTGTACGATCTATGAGATTCAGCATGTTATCTAATTTTCTTTTCGATTTTATTTGTCGCTCTGTTTCACAGGACTACAGCGTACCTCGAATTGACTTGTTTACGGAGATAAACGGGTTGGGGAGGGTGTCCTCCTACTGTGACGAGGCCGTAGAGCTCGGCTCCTTCGGAATCCCGCAGACCACCGGCTCCATCAAGGTTCACTCCGGGGTGTAAGTTCAGCCGACGCTAACCCTGATGCTAACCCTAACCCTAACCCTAACCCTAACCCTGCACAGCTGGAAGCAGAGGCTCAAACCAGTTCACCGGAAACAAACATGCATTTTTCAATTCAGAACCTTTAGGAAATATCAGGGCGATTTGTCACACGATCTAAACATCTCATTTTAATTTCTGGTCCAAGCGGGCTTATATATATTTTAGTATAAAGTGTCTCTGGAAACTTCATGAAGATAGGTCTTTTGGTCACATCTGTGTTCGGTCTGTGAAGGAATGCGAGTGGCAGGCTCGAGCTCGTGGTTGTCACGGTTACAACTGCTGCAGATTATTGATGGTTTGGAGTTCAGCTTCTTAAAATGTTTCCTGGTGTAGAGAGGGAAGTTGTCACATCATTACTTGTGTTTCTTTGTGCTTATGATTCCTCTTTTCCTCGTTGTCATTATATGTGTGTGCGTGTGTGTGTCTCTGTGTGTGTTTGTGTGTGTTCAGCTGGCTGGTGTACGCCGATCCGGGCTTTCAGGGATTCACTGGAGTTTTGGAGGCGGGGGAGTACCCCTGCCCAGAGAGTTGGGGATTCCCTGAACCTTTCGTTAGCTCTCTCAGACCCCTCCGAATGGTACAGAGTATTTATCATATATTAGCACTAGACTCTGCACTTTGATCTGCCATCTTTGGTCTGACAACACGTGTGTGTTTCGTTGCAGGGAGCAATAAGGGTGGAGCACCCCACCGACGCTAAGGTGGGTCCTGCCCTGCGCCTCATCGAACTCTGTTGGGTTAGATTCCTGTTCAGAGCTGCGGCTGTTGAGTCGAGTAAAAGGAATCTGAGAATTCAGCCTCGACATGTTTGCCTGATGCGATTCATTATGTTGTTAGCTGGGCCCACATTCAGAGGGTGGGGATATGATGCAGTTTGTTCATGTGTGTGAGGAAAAAATGAGGTGTTTATTGGTAGAGATTGATTTTCTAAATTTTGTAAAAAGTCATTGTCTATCATTTTTGATAGTTCTACTTAAAATGTAAAGGTAAATACCTTTTTGGAAACCCTAACAAAAGCACACTCTGTGGTTGTTGTGAAAAGTAAAACAGAATTTGACCCGTGCATAAACTTCCGCCATCTTTAACCACAAAAAGTAGGATCTTAGTGTGATTGCTGCAATATCTTTAATAAACTGATGTGTGTGGCCATTTGTCTTATGCTTGTCTGACACAAAACAAACCTAAAACCCAGCTGGAAAGGATGATAAAAAGTAAGATTTATCACTTCTTGTCTGGGGTATGCTGACAGCTCTCCGCCTGCAGCCTGTTCACCTCATTGATAGACAGTAGAGAGACGTTATGTAAGATTTATTGGTCTTTACACAGGAACTTGTGGAATGGATGGCATCCTTCATTTGGACAGGAACGGGCCAAAAAAATCCCACTTGAGCTACACAACCCAGATTTAAGCCTTCTGCTTTTGTCCTTTGCAGGCTGTCGTGTTTGAGAAGCCCAACTTTGACGGGGAGTGTGTAGAAGTAGACAACGATCTCTACAACTTGCTAGAGCAAGTAGAAGAAGAAGGCAAATCTGGTGTGAAGAGGAAAACATTGTGTTCAGTCGGGTCTATTAAGATAATCGGTGGCCTGTAAGTGTCCGAAGAGCATCCAAAAACCCGTTATTTTGGGGTTTTGCAGGCTTATGAATGAATACAACTGTTTCCTTTCACTTGGACAGCTGGGTAGGCTATCAGGAAGCAGACTTTGAAGGCCAGCAGTACATCCTGGAGGAAGGAGAATATCCTGAGGCCAGTGAGTGGGGAGGATCTGAAGGCGGGCTTCTGTCTCTGCGGCCTCTGTTGGCTGTGAGTATTGCAAAGTTTCAAAGTTGACACACCTCCTAGCCTCGTGTGTGCTTCCACTTATCGAACAGGCATCACGGAAATTGCAGGTCGTCTATTTTATACGTCAGCACTTTGCCATTTCACACGTTTAAGACTCTTTTCTTTGGGTTAGCCAACTTCTCATTGGCTGTCTTGATCTGTGGTTTATTTTGATTTTATCTTTTTCTTTCTCTTTCTGTCTAAAGGATCTCTCTCCTTTCCACTGGTATTCTTTCTTTCCTGTCCCTCTGTCAGGTTCGGCATTATTGGACACATGGAAGTTTGGTAACAAAAATGAATGAACAAGGCAGTTTTGTTTTGTTTTAGCCTCCTCACTAACAAAGCCTCCCTTGGCAAAGCTAATGTGTTTAGCATAGTGTGGTACTCAGATTTCAGTTCTGCTGCCACAATGCGGAACTGTACAAGAGAAAAATAGAAAAAATAAAGGTGCATGTGTCTTTGTGATGTGCTGTTGTTTTTTATTTTTTTATTTTGTTAGTACATTAGATTCAGACTCCTCTAATTCTCCTGACATTGAGGACCCGGAATTCAAAGCACTCGCCATTCAGTTTTTATTCATTATTATTTTGTCTCTGTATCATCTTCCCAAGGATTTCCAAGCCCCTCACGTTAAACTGTTCCGTGAGCCGAACTTAAACGAGGTGGGGGTCAACGTGGACCTTCTGGGTCCCGTCTTCAACATGGAGGGCATCGGCCACAGCACCAAAACCGAGTCGGTCAGCGTGACCGCCGGCGTGTAAGTCCAGCAATTCCTGCACACAAAACCACAAACCTCGGTTAAATAAGCCAGAGCAGAGGGGAAAAGTCACACTTTTTAGGTGTGTCTCACCTTGCAGGAGTTATTTCAGGGCTCGAACACACACCCAGGGTGCACACCCATATAGCCCCAGAGGATGAAATCTGAATAAGCCTCTCACACTGACCGACTCGTGTAATTGATAGGTTTGACAAAAGATTGAAAATCCTCCCGTTCCTTGAAGGCAGAGATTTATGCTGCTAGTATTTTTGAACGTGTGCTGTTGATCCTCTTTTGTGAATTTATTAAATTGTTGTTGAAATAAATAACAAAAAAGAGGTTCACAAACACTGAAATATATTTTTGAGACAGTGATTTCCATAAATATTAGGTTAAAAAAGGTCAATTTGAGCAAAGATTTTCACATTTTCCTTTTTCACACATTTGGTTTGTCATTTTTCTCCTGACAATTTAATAAAATTTGAACAAAAAATGTTCTGATTTAAGTCAGCCGGTTCCACCTTTTTTACGCTGGAAAAAATATGCTTAACTGTTGGCCATGTATGTACGTTTTGCTTCATATCTGTCGTACCTGTTGTTTTACAACCTCTCAGAGGAATGGAGTTCCTTTTTTATGATCTTAGCTTTGCATGCGCTGTCAGACTCTCAATCAGAAAACTAATCAGGTCAGTGCGGCCTGAATTCCAGAGCCTCTCTTTCAAAACCTGCCTTACAGGCTGATTTACCAACATGGACCTTAGCCAAACAGTTCATCTGCAACACCTCAACAATCTGTGCATATCTTATCTCAGAAGGCTGGATGATATATCTTGGATTGATGATTAACAGTAGATGAACTCCTTTTTTTTACTTCATAAGCTTCACATAGTTTTCCATATTTACCCACAGAATAATAACATACTGAGGATTCCTCTTAACATAAGTTAGAGTTGTAGATAACCCTCTGCTCTGGATTTAGCTGTCGGCATCAAAAGGATTTTTTAAATTGTCAAGCAAATCAGACACAGTAGCAGACACATGATATGATTCAGGGAATGTTATTGGCTGCAGCCTGGGGCTGATGAGCGTTTTAAGAATGTGACTTCAGGTTTGACTGATGGGTGTTCACCAGAGGGACAGAAAAAAATAAAATACAAGCACCAAAAATGCGCTGCCACAAGAAAGCGACACGTTTAGTCACATTTGTTGCTAAAATTAAGAGTTTTAAGTAGGCCGTCTGTGTGTGCTCTGCAGGTGGGTGGCATTCGAACAGCCCGGGTTCAGTGGAGAGCTGTATGTGCTGGAGAAAGGCATCTATACCACCCCAGAGGACTGGGGGGCGCAGAACTCCAAGATCCTGTCCATACAACCCGTCTTCCATGTAAGAATGCTGTTTTTTTTTTTTTGTTTTTTTTTTATTTATTTATTTTTTTAATCGCAGAGGGAAATTATTTAATTATTCTCAGGCTCATATCCAAATACCCTACACTTTTATGAATGTAACATTTCTTGATAAATTATTAACTACATAGCAATGACTGTGAGCATCCAACTCATTTATCTGAATGAAAAACCAATTCTTTAAAAAAAATTTTTTTTTTTTACTGTGTATCATTTATTTGCTCATCAGGAGATCATACATATATCGATGTTACATACATTGTACAAAGCTTACATGACTTCTCCGATTTTTTGTTTTCTTTTTTACACTGTTATTTTTTTTTCCCCTTCCCTCTTCCTTCCCTCTTTCTTCTCCCCATTCCCCCTTCTTTCCCTCTTCCCTTTCCTTTCCCCGTAGCGAACATAAATCCCTGTATTAACACAACAAAAACAGGACCAAAGTATAATTACATTAAAAAAATTTTTTTAAAAAGTGTTCCTAATTCCTCCATCCTCTTTGTTACACAGGACGCACTGGTGGGAACAACTAAGTTTAAGGTATGATTCATCCAGTGCTTCATATTAGATAGAAAAATGTGGATATTCTGTGTGTTTAGTTCCTGAGACGGTTTGGATGCGTTACAGGTCCAGCTGTACTCTGAACCAGACTTCCAGGGAAGGATGGTCATCCTGGAGGGCAGCACAGCAGCTCTGGACGATGACTTTAAGCCTCGGTCCTGTAAGGTGTTAGCAGGCAGGTAAGCACCACCCAATTCCCAATAAACAATGCATCACTCAGACAAGAAAAAAATACACATTTCCAATGAAAAAAGGCGTTTTCTTCATTCGCTTTAATGTCCCATTCTAGCAGTTATGAATCTCTTAAAAGCTTGGCTGTGTTACTGGGGTGTTATTCCCATAATATATATATATATAATATATAACATCTTCTGCAGAACGACCAGACTACTAAACAGTTTCTTCCCCCTGGCCATCAGACTACTTAACGCCACATAACACATACACACACACATATTTATTGATGTTTCGTTGTAAAAAAAGTCAGTGCAATATATATATAAATAGAATTCTTTACGCTTAGCGCTTAGTTATAGAATAGAATACAATACATATTTATTGCGCATGGTATAAGGTCTTAGCTGTTACTCTGGTAGCCAAGTAACTGACATTTCGTTGGCAAATTCACCTCGTGTTTTTGTGCAATGACAATAAAGGAAGTCTAAGTCTATGTCTATAAAAAGAATAGTTTCATCCACAGTTTCCCAAAAGTTTTATTCAAAGTCATTTTACGAAATAAGGTTTATAAGTAGATATTTTCTGACTAAAGTTTAAAACGATTTGACGGCAGTATTGCGTGTCGTTGTGTGTCGTTGTGTGTCAGCTGGGTGGCGTATGATGGAGCCGGGTTTAAAAACAACATGTATGTGCTGGAGGAGGGGCCGTACCCAGACACAGAGGCCATGGGCCTCCCGTCCCCGGACCCTGGACTTAGGTCCATGCAGACCACTGGACACGTGAGTGCTTTGTCTTGAGGGGAATTCTGTTCAGATCGTCGTTTTTGGTCCCGTTTTTGGTTCTAAACTGAACTCCCTCTGCGTGCTACAGGAGCTCTCCCTGCCCTCCATGGTGCTTTTCAGTAAGCCGGGCTGCAGAGGCCGCCGCACGGTGCTGAGGGGCGGGGCCATAAACCTACCGCAGGCCGGCATGAACGCGTGCGTGCGCTCCCTGCTGGTGGAGGGAGGAACGTAAGTCACGCTCTATTTACACCGAATTCAAAAGAAAAACAGAACCGAAGAAAATACGTGTGTCGTTTCAGAGTAAAGTCCGCACAATTTTTCTCAAACCTCTATTCAGCTCATTTGAAGCTCATGTGTTAATTTAGAAGATATAAGAATGTGTTTAAAAACATGTCACTGAGGTGATGAAGCAGCAGAAAGAATGTGGTTATACTAATGTAAGCTCATTTTAATGTTGATTTTCTTTTTGTGTAATTGATTACACAGTAATGAATTATTACACAGTTATAAATTGCATGAAGTAACCGAATGTACTTATTGCACAAGATTCTAAAAGAAAGATACTGACTGTTTAAATATCCATTCATCCACTAGAATCAGTATCATGTTGTATTGAAGAAGACCAGAACTTAAGACCATAAATCAAATGGTAAAATGCTCTTAGTTATGTTTGAGGATATATGGCTGGTGTCAGAGTTACAGCTTGCTTTTGCAGTGTTGGTTTATACGGCGGTTCTCTCTTATGAAGACATTTTTTCCCAGTGGTGAAGAAAGTTAAATAAATCGAGTTATGTGGAAAAGAGTACAAACCTGGAATTGATCACCGAACGCCGCATTGCTCTCTGCAGGTGGGTGTTGTATGAGGGCAGTAACTACAGAGGCCGACAGCTCCTCCTCCACCCGAGTGAAGTGGGCGATTTGTGCAAGCTGCATGGCTGGCAGCGAATAGGATCCCTCCGACCGCTAAACCAGGTGTGTACGGACAGACATGGAAACAGAAAATCACACCAAACATGCTATTCTGACAATAGACATCTGTTTAATTTACTTCAGTTAAAGATGTATTCCCTTAAGTAAAAATTTGACCAATTTGGGCAACTGTATCCTTACATGAAATCCCAAAATTAAACACAATTTCTTTAATTTTGATGGCCATTTATTAGCTAAATGCTATTTTCTAAAGGTAATGTAACCGTTTTCTTTGGGATGTCTCCCAACAGAAGCAGATGTACTTTCGGCTGCGGAACAGGGAGACCAGCGGCGTGATGTCTCTGACCGGAACGCTGGACGACATTAAGCTGATGAGGGTCCAGGCTCTGGAGGACACGGGGGGAATAGAGCAGATCTGGCTGTATCGGGACGGACAGATCAGCTGCAAGGTGCACGACCACAAAATCACCACAAAAAAGAAAAGGCTTTTCCTCATCCGATCTGTGGAGAGTTCCTGCTAAGCCCGTTTCAAACATGAACAAAGCCAGTTTTTTTTTTTTTTTTTTTTTTAGCCGAGCAATGAGCTGGAATCAAATATCTCTAAACATCCAGAGAATTGTACAAGTCTTGTGCTAGTCTGCAGACACCTGCACTATTGGGTTTAAAAACAAGAGTTTGCAGAGGTTCGTCCCCCCTGTTGATTTCATTGAGTTTGTGCGCCCAGAAGCTTCTATTTTTTTCTTTTCTAATCCTTCAGCTGCATTGTGAATCTCTATTTATTGTCTGTAATGTCCCGTCTGCCTCCAGCTGGTGGAGCACTGCTGCCTGGGGACCACGGGGAGCGTGGTGATGGCGGGCAGCCGGCTGTGCGTTTCCCCGGAGCGAGGCAAAGACGACCAGCTGTGGAGCATCACCCCGGAGGGTTTAGTGCGCTGCCACCTCAACCCCGGGCTCAACCTGCAGGTCAAAGGTCAGAGAACAGGGCCCAGACCTTTAGAATGATAATCCTTTATGGTTTCCTTCACTGCAATGAGACACGTGAGGAAAGGGTTGGGATGGGGAGAAGATATGAACTTAGACTGAGATGTAGATCTGCTGTGGTCACAATAAGGCTCCTCCAAAGAGGCATTACAACTTAGTTGAATCTTTCCTACCTGTGGACCTTTTTTCCGAGTTTCCCTTATGCCACAGCTCAGCACCACTTCCTGTTATGGCTACCACAGACAAATCCAGATTAATTCAGACAAAGCAGCCCGTGGACTGAGACGCCAGCCTAAACAAGCGGCTCCATCTGCTGGCGCATGAATGATGTGCAGCAGTTAAAGTTAGCAGTTGCAGGAAAAAAACATCAGAAATGAGCAACACAGCGTTCGTTTTATCAAAAAGTTTTTTTTAAGATATCAGGTGGAGGCTGTCAAGTTGACCAAAAATGACATTGTCAGTGTATGAAAAACACTGACTAAGACTGAAAAGACAGAAAAAACAAGAAAGCCATGCTGCTGCAACCAGTATTTTTTTGTTACAATGGCAAGATATCCTCGATTCTGTTTGCCTATCTGGTTTTGGAATAAACATAATCAACGGCTGAAAAATGAATTTTGTGTTCGTCTGGCAGGTGGCGTTCAGTATGACAAGAACCAGGTGATCCTCAGCGCCTTCGACGACAGCAAACTGAGCCAGAGGTGGACACTGGAGGTCCTGTAGACGGGCCTCACTGCCCCCAGACGCAGCTCCGTCAGCAGACTGAGCCCTGTGGTGCAGCTCCACCGTGGAGGCCGTGCCACACAGATGGACTCCGTCATGTTTACTGTTTCACACTCCAAAACCAACCCAGAAAGGAAAGCACTCCAAGCAATAACACTGAGTAAAATAATGATATTTATTATAATAATAATAAATAGTTTTAGCCACTACAAAACAATCCATACCAAAGATGGTGGAAACTGCCCTGTTTGAATGCTGCAAACCTTCCTTTAGCCTACACTACTCAAATGTTCTTTTCATATATTTATGATGGCGAATATGAATGTACACATTATGTTCACTGCTACTTTGTGAAGTCTCTCATGTCGACACTCCAAAGAAGTATTTTGACTATTATTTTCTTTTGTTTCTAATGTTGAGCTATTGTAAAGTTTGATGTATTCTCTTTTTTTTTTTAGGGTTTTAAAATAAAATGTAATGAATTGTTCTCGGTTGTACAGAAGCATCAAATGCTTTGTAACAATGCTGCCCTCTACAGTGTAAATATTTAAAAGAACTGTTGTACATTAGGAATAAAACAGATTTTTACCCCTCTCTTCTTATGCTTCAATGCTGGTGAGAGCATTATATGGTATGACTCATGAGTACTTTAAGGGGGATTTCCTCGTGCATATTGATGTATGCAAATGTACAATTCTGCAACATCAAATTGAGAAAAAATATGTCCAAAACGATCAAATTAAGCATTCGAAAAAGTTGTAGCTCCCTGTGGAATAGGGCTGTCCCTTTTGTTTAAATATATGGTTGTCCTGTGAAAACGGGAAGTAAGGAAGCCATTAAGCTCAATTCCTGTACATTTAGTTCAAGCTGTTCAGTTAGACCAGAAACGGGAAGAGGATAACTGGATAAAAGGTCAAAGACAATATTTAACAAATACAATTAAGAATTTTTTTTATGCTCAGGGAAGTTCAAAGAGGCATTTCTGAATGTACACATGTGCCTCTGAGGTTTTATCAGGGTCACAGACAATATTCTTCCCTGTCGAGGAAGTAAAATGCCTCCACTCTTTATTTGAGGAAATTTGTTAGTCAATTAAGTGACTTTAGATCCTATTTGTTCACCAACTGAAGATCTTCAATCCATCTCTGCTTATCAAAGACTTGCGCCTCATGTATGCTGCTTTTCTAACAAATAGTTATGAGACACCAAACAATCGAAAGTTATTCTAAATCTGCATTTTACGAACTATCCCACCTCCTGATGATGTTCATGAACAGGCACCTAGTTGGAGGTTATCACGTCATTTTCCAGCAGACAGTGAATGACAGTTTTTAATCCAAAGCTCTCTCACATGGGGCCTAACTGTGCTGGATCAGTAGTGGGTGCATGTGTGAGCCTGCAGAGAGAGCCAAAGTCTGTAATGTGAAGTAGCTTCAGTAAGTACTGGATGCCGCATTAAACAGGGTAATTCAAAGTGGAGACATATAAGGGTTAAAGTTTAAAGTAACTCAGTCATACACCAAACAAAAGCTTTGATGAACTCACAGGTTAAATTACTTCATTTTATGACACTTTTATTGTTTTTGACCAAAAAATGAAAAACATTGCCTCTGTGTTGTTTATGATCCGGCAGCAAAAAGGTAACAACAGAAAAAGTGCACACTGCAGAAGCAGAAGGCCTCACAGCTTTTTATTGTACCCAGGCAGCAGCTTTCAGCTCATTTGTAGCAGTTTCCTGCAGTGGTGAATTAAAATTAAACCTCTTTGAGAGTCGTTACGTTCCTCCCTGGCTGATCTGGACCACAGTTTTTCCTCGGGCGTGACCTTTCTCCATCTTCTCAAAGGCTTGGGGAACCTGTGAAAAGGAGAACGTCTCCTCCACAACGGCCCGAATCTGACAGGCAAAAGAAAAAGGAAAGTCTGAGCCCAGGTCACACGAGCCCACGTGTCTGAAAACTGTTTCACATGAAAGAGATGACTACTCCTGTTCCTGCAGTGAAGTTTATTTCACTATCTGAATGCATTTCCATAAATAGAATAGGACAAATTGTTTAAAAAAAACTGTTTAAAATTAAATTTTCCATCTCTAAAGAAGCTTATCATTCAGTATTTAGCCTATGCAACAGCGGTAATATATAATAATGATAATAAGAATAAGGATCCTAATAATAATAATAGTCTCAAGTTAAATAGATTGAAAAGGAATGTTTAAGATAGAATGAGTTTAAATGTTTCTAATTAATTTAATGGAAATACTGTGAGCATATTAATGAACAAATATGGTATCACTAGTCGTTCCCTCACAGTAAAGAGCTGAACTAACTTACCTTTCCTGCATCCACCATTTCTCTTATCTCATCCAGCGTGGGACCGCTGGGTGAGAAGAATCCCCAGCGGTAGTGAACTCCTTTGACCAGATGCTACAGACAAAAACAGAGTGGAAACATTCTGCGTTTTAAAGACCACCGGAGACAGGCATTTCTAACCATCGGATGACTGTTTCATCTATCCAGGAGAAGTGATTTGTGTCTGATAACATGTCTCCAGGGAACAATAATCTAACAGACATCACCAATTCTGTCTGCTTATTTGATTTAGTGATCCCTCTTCTTCCACATTGCCAATGGCCGAACTTCACTGTAGTTCTGTTCCATATGCTGGGCCACTTAAGAACTGTAGAGATTTTTAGTGTGAGTTACTACACTCAATTCCTTTTAGATTATTTGGAAATGAGGGTACTATTCCAGCCAGGATTTCCTCTTAGTGAATATTTGTAGTGCGCCTGTGTGAAGGCCAGAAATGTGGCGATAATGTGGCAGTTTTGTCTCGGATGTGGGATTGGTCTGCACTGGCTTAAACATCTGTGGTGAGGCCAAAGATAAAAATCAACCCCTTTAAAAACACTCCTAACTGAAACACGCAGCCATCAACACCAACAATTTGCATGCAGAAAGAAAATACCTCAGAAGAATTAGTCCTCAGACTGAGTCACAGGTTGTAGACCCCATTACACAAATGGGAGACACAACAATGAAACCAGAGGAGCAATAAAAACACGGGAAACGGTCTTTACACAGCTGAAAGGAAATGAAGACACTCACCGCTTGGTGCGTGCACACAATCGCACACACGCATATTATTTCACAATAAGTCTGCTTTTTCTGGCTTGTTCAACTTTAGGGGCAAACCCCACAGTTTAACTAAAACCCCTCCACAAGTATCACAGGCTTCTCTGGGGCAGCCCCGGCTCTACAGTCACATTTTCTTACATTTTTCTCAATTATTTGAAGAGGATTGGAAGAAGTTTACAAAGGAAAACAGAAAAGGTCAAATTAAAGCCCAGAGGAAAATAAAATGGCAGGCTACTATGGAACTATGGATTGAGGGCAAATAGCTGATTGGAGGCATTCCCTGAGTTAATTACTTGAGTTAATTGGCTGAAAATTACAAATTTTACAAGCAAAATATGTGAGCATTTCCTTTTAGAGGTCTCCAGTGCCAACTCCATGCCTGTGGTTAGAATGTGTAGATTTTTACAGATGAAAAAAGGTGAAATAAGAAAAAAAACAAAAAAGGTTGAAGTCGCACACAGCTTCCTGGAGTCAACCACATTAACTCCAGCTCTCATCCTGTTTCAGGCAGAAAAACACTTTTCATTCTCACTTAAAGTAAGGAAGGTCTGTTAACATGAAAACAAACTTAAATAAGGCTTTACGTGTACTTGCAGTGTTCGCTATCGTGAGCTGTTGAATTCTAAACGAAGGCCAGGGATCGAATAATGAGGAAGAGAGCTCAGAGAACCTCCCACTCCAAACAATCGGGCTGATGCTTTTGCATAAATGCGACTCTGCAGCGTGCACATCTGCAGATGAATAAATGACTTGCGTCAAGAATTTGGAAAACCTGCTAGATGCCTCAGTTACTGGACAGTTAAACAATTGGTGTTGGTTTTTAGTACTGAACAGGAGTGTTGAGGTAACCTGCTTCCCCCCCGTTTCTACGCGGGAAGCGTGTGAACAATGAGGCAGCTTTGTGACAATGTCACATGTGCCTTTCTACCTTTATGTCCCAAAGCGAGGGGTCATGTTGTGGGACAGGATGAGGCCTGGTCACAGTCTGGACCCCCTTCAACCAGATGTGTGTCCTTTCTTCAATGAGTCTCCTGGAGAAGCTCTACAGGCTTCTTGAAGGACGTCCAAAAGCTCTTTTTGGATGCTGCTGCCTTTGGCACCGTTCTGTCAGATGATCCCACACCGGTTCAGTGATATTGAGTTCTGGGCTCCATAGCTTATTCTCCCTGTTTCCCTTCCACGGAGGGCATTTCTGATGAGGCCTGGGCCAAAAAAGATGGATCAGCTGAAGGCCCAGATGTGTTTCTCAGGCCTCTGCTGGATGTTTCTTCCTCTTTCTTGAGGACACCACTCTCAGAAACAGTTCTTCTGTCTGTAGACGTGCTACTCGTTTTTCTCCTGTGCTTGTCCACTTCAGGTATGCCAATACTTTAGAATACATTTAATTTCTTATTTGAATTTTTGACACATACAACTTTAATTATTCCTGTCTGACTCAAGAGTTTACCTCAGAACTATGCTCAGAACTAACCAAAAAACATTCTGTGCATCTTCCTATTCAAAATGTAGGGAAAACATCATGCAAACGTTGACTGCTATTGTATATTTAGCAAGGGACGGGAACTAAAAGATATTTGTGTTATTTACATGCAGCATAGGCCCTTACTTTGTATCTTTTTTAGACCAGAAAAGAGAACAAAACACTGTGCAAATGAATCTGTTCAGGACAGAGTGACATAACGACGTTCCTAAAGACCCACATATAAAAAAAAAGATGGGCTCACAAAGAAATTGTACAATTTCTATTGATGTTGGCCAGAAAATCAATAATGCTTAAATGGGTTGGTTCTGATGCCCCGTCGATCCAGCTATGGAAAAATTTGCTTTCTGAAGTTATTGTATTAGAAAGATTGAGATATTGTATAAACGGGAAATTTCATGATTTTAAGAAAAGATGGAAACGTATTCTTGAACACTTCAAAATTTCAAAATTTCAAAAATGAAAAACCAGTAATGTGAATCTGAATGACGTGTATTTATAAAGTGGTTATGTTTCTCATGTGACGCTATAATTCATGTACATGCCTCCAATTTTGATTTCGACTTGTTTTCTATATCAGTGCTGTATAAGTTTTGTCCTCGTTTTGTTCTTTCCTTCCCTGTTTTTGTATAAATATTCAAAAATACCTAATAAACATAATTCATAAAAAATAATAATAATAATAAAAATAAGATGGATCTTCTATAAATGTGTCCGTGACACTGGGGTGGGGTTACCTTGAGGGCTTTGGTGGCCACTGTAGCTGCGGTCTGCATCATGCCGTCGGCGATGCCCAGCAGGTCGGTGTTCTGCATGAAGGGTGTCACGAGGGTCACGTACTTAGCGCCGCTCCACGGCTTAAGCAGGCCCAGAGCCCAGCGCTCTGTGTCCCCCCCTATGTTGTCCAGGATTAGGTCAAACCTCGAGTGCACAAGAGACAAAAGCACGGGCGTGAGAGGGCACAAAAAGACCAGGAAGAGTGTGGCTGTTCGATAGGAAACGAGAGATTTCAGCCTCCTCACAGGAACGAGATGCTTGTATGTGTGTGTGTGTGTGTGTGTGTGTGTGTGTGGGGGGGGGGGGTCTTCTTACTTCTCCAGCTGGCTGAGGGGCTCCTCCACCGGCCCGGCCGTGTAGTCCACAGTGTGGTCAGCGCCGAGTCCCTTCAAAAACCGCTCGGCATTCTGGGAGCAGGTCACAGTCACATGGCCCCCCCAGGCCTTCACCATCTGGACACAGATATGAGCACGGAGGAACTGAGAGGCAATAACACAGTATTTTCTGGAGCCCACTTTATTTATATTCTTATTTTTTTGGTGTGTACCTGTACTTAATCTGTATTTTTTTGCATTTTGCTCTCTGTGTGCCACTTTTTGCCCTGTAAGCGGCTGGTTACTTTAATTTCCTGAGCGAGTCTTCCCAAGGGATCAATAAAGTACAAGTCTATGCCTAAGTCTGAGTTTTATGTACAGTTTTCTCTGACTTAGGCTATGCGCAAGGAATACTCTTGGAGACGTTTTCGGACAAAGTATGGAAGCTGCAAAAGTTTCAAGGAAAACATCGATCAAAAAAGGTTTGTTCTAATGTATTGAATAATTCTAATTGAGAATAATACATAAAAAAAGCTGTTTTCTCATCATAATTCCCCTGTTTTCTGTATACCTGTATTGCAAAGGTTCCCACTCCCCCTGATCCTCCAAGGATCAGGATCCTGCAGAAGGGGAGTGAAGACACACACGTTAATAATGTGTGGGATGGGTGTGAGTGTGTTAGCGGGGCGTGTGTCGCTCACCGTTTGTTGGCACATTTGTCCTTGCTGAGTCCGCCCGTGTTAACCAGCGCCGACCAGGCCGTGGCGGCTACGTAGGGAATGGCGGCTGCCTCGATGTGACTCAGTGTCTTTGGTTTGTGAGATATCTGAGCAAAACACACATTGAGATTAACAGCAGTTGGACAAACAGCACAGTGAAAAGCACTCCTTTGTTACACATCCTGAGTCTTTATGAAGAAGCAGCTGTAAAAAAACCTTTTAATGAAAGGTTTTTTGAGTGTGTTTGATGAGAAAATGTGATGAGCGGCCTTCCCCTTTGACTCAGATGTTCTGATGACTGGACCTATTCAATGCGGCGGTCACAAACCACCACAGAAATCAAACAAAGAAGTGTAATGAGCTCTAAACATCTGCAGAGAGAGCACTACCTCATTCGCACTCAGCACCACAAATTCAGCCAAGCTGCCCTGCTTCCATGGAGGGATCGCTGCCCACACCTAGAAGAGACACAAACAGGCAGAAAAGTCATTTTGGACATCCTCCAGAGAGCCTGGAGAACTATTCCTGAGGACTACTTAAAGAAATGTGAGCAAGTTTGTCTGAAAACGTTCATCCGATCTGTACAAAACTCTCCTTAAAACGTCTTTGCAAGTGGTCAAGCACTTGTGACAAATACCAGTTAACAGATTTAGAATAGCTGATGTTATTCCTCCAAACGGGCTGAGGTAACGGCTCATGATGGAGCGTTTACCGGGCACCAGTCATGCACGTTGCTAAGGCACACCGTGGTGTTGCTGTCCAGCTGGCATTACAAGGCCACACAACAACACCACCACTCATTTGCACCTCTGAGATGGTAGCATCATGCCAGCCAAATGCTGACCAGGACAGTTTTTCATCTGGACAAAACAACATGACTCGCCAGGTGGGGTTTAGCCATCCTCTCCGTTTAGAAAGCGATTCTGTGAAGTGAGTGCTTCAGGGTGACTTTTTGTCTGTGTATCACTCGTCTGCTGCCTGTTTTCTTCACCTCGTCCCTCTCTCTGAAGTACTTCACATCCAGGCCGCACTCCATGACCACCCCGGACACGTCTCTTCCCAGGATGAGCGGGAACTCGCTGCCTGACTGTTTGATGTTCAGGGGGTCTCTCTTCATGGACAACGTGGATGAACCATAGCCACCTGATGGGAGGGAAAGTCTTAATTTTAAAATAAAAGTGCACATGGAAATAAGATGTTTGAACTTTTGGGTGCAGCAGGATAAGACCGGCTACGAAAGACACAGATGTTGATCTAAATATCAAACAAATAGAATATTTTCAAGACTCTGCAGCTGAGATGGAGCTGCCTTAAAACACTCACCTCTCATGCTGACATCAATTGGGTTCAGACCAGCAGCGACCACTTTGATAATGACCTCATTGGGGTAGTGAATCACGGGGAAACTGGCGTTTCTTGTGAATCTTAGGACGTCATTGTTTCCATATTTATCAATAACCCAGGCAGGCATGATGGTTCTGCACCTGCCGGATGTGCTGAGCAGTCTCTGCTGACCAACACGCCTTTTGAGCACACATGGAGATTTGCAAAGGTGAAACAGCAAACGTCTGTGCACCAAATATCCAGAGGAACTCATCTTCAGTATCGAGTCAAAAATAGGACTGTTCGACCGTGAATCAGCCGATACAACCAAAACACACTTTCAAAAGCGTTTTAAACCGAGGCTATCTCTCAGCTACATGCATTTTCTCTTTTTATAAAAGCATGTCTAACAACACATGCTATCTAGTTAAATAATTCCGAAGTTTTAAACCATTTCATAACAATTTCTTCCGCGACATGCCCCCTCTTCAGCCGGTGTGTAGCTACAGCGTCTCCGCCAATCAGATCGCTGCTTCCTCATACGCTGTCCAATCACAGAGGTCGCTGCTGGATGTTGACGTTTAGGCAAACATGGCGGCGTTCTGGTGTAGTGCACCGTGCTAAGGTTGATAGTTTGAAGGATTATGTTCAAGACAGCAAAATGCTCAGCCTGACAATAAAAGAGGTTAGTAGGACTGTTCGTTTGTTTCTCCAGAGTTATTTCTGTCAATTCATTTTTAAATTATCTGCTGTTATTGCATATTGAATTAAAATAAACGCTAATTTACTTAACAGACTACAATCCATATGTTTTCAAGCAGAATTCTTATAATGGTTTCTCAGTTGTGTTGGCACAGAAGCTTCTTGTTTCCAATGACTGCCATAAATCGATGGACTTTGAATCAAACCCTCCACAGGCTGCCATAAACCCACTAAAACTTTATTTCCAGGTGTCTGTGGCGTTCAGAGAGGGGAAAATCTCCCCAACAGAGCTTTGTAGGAGGTGTCTGAATCGCATCAAGAAAACCCAGCATCTGAACGCTTACATCACAGTGACAGAGGAGCTGTCGCTGAAGCAGGCTCAGGAGTCAGAAACCCGGCTGCTGCGAGGTGTGATCACGCAGGTTTGCATCTGGATTATCTGTGGGCAGTCCTAGGTGTTACACTTTGAACTTGTCCTCCATCAGGTATCCCCAAAGGTCCCCTGGATGGAGTCCCCTTCACCGTCAAGGACAACTTCTGCACTGAGAACATAAAAACCACCTGCGCCTCCAAGATGCTGAAAGGTCGGTCCCACGCTGGTGTTTAAACTGTTTTCGCCCCGTTAACGTGAACCTAACGCTGCGTTTTCCACAGACTACACTCCACCTTTCAACGCCACGGTGGTGCAGAAGCTCCTGGACCAGGGCGCCGTGCTGATGGGGAAGACCAACATGGATGAGTTTGCGATGGGGTAAAGCCAACGTCATTAGCATGTCAATTTGATTGTACATGTCAGTTCATGAGTTTGGTTTATGATGCAGGGAAGATTTGGCCAGCCTCACAAAGTGCTTGCCATCCTCCTGTGGTCATGTATTACACTGTAATGCCTCCTTTGAAAGTTACACACGCTCATTAAAGTCTGTGGCTGTTGCAGCTAAGCTCCACCTTCAACCCCTTCCATTCTACCAGGAGGATGGCTGGAGGCACATTCGAAAAGTGTGAATGTGGACAACGCTATCGATTGGCAGCAATAATGTTTTTTGTCATGTATTCCCACCAGAGGTTTCCAGATGTCTGTTTCAAGTTTTTTCAGTATGATACTGAAACAACCCAACAGGACAAAGAGTCAAACCCGCCTGTTAAGAGCCGGGGCTTGTGTTTGTTCTGCTCTCAGCTCGGGCAGCACTGACGGGGCTTTCGGTCCGGTGAGGAACCCCTGGAGCTACGCCGGTTCCTACAGAACCCGGGCCCGAGCGGAACCAGACTCCGACTGGGTCGTCTCGGGGGGGAGCTCAGGAGGAAGCGCCGCGGCGGTGGCGTCGCTCACCAGCTTCCTGTGAGGGACTTCTTCAGGGAAAGCGTGAAATTTGAGGCTGGTGGATTGGAGGCCGGTGCGTAGAAACGAGCGCTGGCTGTCTTGCAGGTCGTTGGGCTCGGACACAGGGGGCTCCACCCGGAACCCGGGGGCTCTGTGTGGGGTGGTGGCCCTGAAGCCCACCTACGGTCTGCTGTCCAGACACGGCCTCATTCCTTTGGTGAACTCCATGGATGTCCCTGGAATAATCACGCGCAGTGTCGATGACGCAGCCGTCGTCTTAGGTGAGGCCATCCGTGATGGAGGAGATTTTCTAACGCTGTCGGTGCAGGGGCTCAAATTTCCAACACTTTAATCAGAAAAACTGTCACACGTCGCCGTGAATGTGACAACAAATAATCCACATAATCCTGGTAACCCGAGATCTGATGCATCAACCAGGTGTCCTCCAAGGCCTGGATATGAGAGACTCCACCACAGTTCCAGCTCCCTCCTCAGGAATGGAGCTTCCCCAAGACTTTGATGTCAGAAACATCTGTGTGGGCATCCCTAAGGTGAGTTCATACAGTATCTTTTTTTCTTTCAGTGAGACGAGCCAAACATTGCCTCATAGCAGGATTAATGCAAGTGGTCTCATGGGTAGTTCACCAAATAAGGAAAGGGAGGCATTTCAGACGGGTCGGCCATTTTGTTCTCTGTGAGTGAAAATAACCCACTCTGTTTTAAACTTCTCGATTTTTTTGTGCTCAAGTTTGACAACACGCTGATGATGAGGCAGGTAAACCCCAGTGTCAAAAATCTGACCTCTTGACTAAAACAAGCATTGCTTTTTAACTCTCAATATAAAAGTAGATATGTTGAGTCTAAATTTTATCTCTTTAAGGAACTTTTTACAGCCTGGTTAGAGCTAAAAATGACTCTCGATTTGATGATATACAGGTTGACAGAAATGTTTCTCCATGGCAAAGACCAGTACGTTAACACTATCGAGCTAGTTTTGGTTACTGGCATTAGACGTGTGATCCTGCTTGTGTCCCTTCATAAGGAGTACCATGCCCCCGGCCTGTCCGAGGAGACTCTGGCACAGTGGAGCCGAGTGGCCGACTTGTTTGAGAGGGCAGGAGCTCGGGTGGAGCAGGTGTCCCTCCCCCACACACAGCACTCCATTGTCTGCTACCACGTCCTGTGTGCGGGTGAGGTGGCGTCCAACATGGCTCGCTTTGACGGGCTGGAATACGGTAGGGTCCGTCTGTTTGGCCTAAAATATTATCTCTGTTATCGCGGCTGATTCGGGGTTGATTCGGTTCCCACTTCTTGCAGGACACCGGAGCCCAGCGGACAGCTCCACGGAGGCCATGTACGCCTCCACGCGTCACGAGGGTTTCAACGACGTGGTCAGAGGGAGGATTCTGTCTGGGAACTACTTCCTGCTCAAACAGTAGGACAGCACCTTTAACCAACCACTAACCAGACGGCTACTTGCTTTTTTATTTTTTATTTTTTATTTGGAAAGGCAAATTACAATTATTTTGTGCAATCCAGCTTCCACCACATTGGAAGTATGCGAATGAATAACATAAACCCAACCAGCTTTTTTTTTTTGTATAATAACAGAACATCCATAACAGAAGAGTGAGTGGGGGGATGGAGGGGTCTGGTCTGAGTTTTCTTATGTTAGGGGAAAAAACATAGTCAAGAGCGTAAGTTCGCCATAATCCTGAGCCAGAGTACAATACACAGAGAAACAGTACTTGCATGTAATAGACATATTTAGTCCACGGGAATTACTGCTTTTATATAGTTTGTCCATTTAGACCAGATCTTGAAGAAAAGTTCCCTTTCGGCCTTGGACACAGACGGCGACTTTCAGTCGTTTGTATCAGAAAGCGACCGCTCACGCTTATTCCGACAGGAACTACCAGCACTACTTGGAGAAGGCCCAGAAAGTGCGCCGACTGATCGCAAACGACTTCCGGGGAGTGTTTTGCTCGGGCGTGGACGTGCTGCTCACGCCCGCCACTCTGACGGAGGCGGCGCCTTACGCTGACTTCACCCGGGAAGACAACCGCACGCGCTGCGCACAGGAAGACGTCTTCACGCAGCCAGTCAACATGGCAGGTACACAGAGAGGGGGGGGGGGGGGGGGTGGGGGGCTGTTGCACTGTGTTCAGGAAGTGTGGGAGGACTCACAACCTTCAGAGTTTTTACGTTGCAGCCTTGCACGCATTCGTAACAGGAAACCATGCATCTAAGTAGATTGTAATTTATCATATTTTTTCACCGTTTAATCAGTCAGAGACATCACAAAAAGTTTAAAAAAAGAGAAACGACTGTCTGTGAAACTGACCGCTAACTCACCTTGTCATTCTCAGCATTCCTCTGTCCACCAGCTCTCTTTCTATGACTTTTTTTCCCCTTCCTTTCCCCGCAGGTCTGCCTGCTGTCACTGTGCCAACGGCTCTATCCAGACGGGGCCTCCCCATTGGCCTTCAGCTCATAGGCCCAGCCTTAGGAGACAGGAAGATGCTCAGTGTGGCCCGGTGGGTAGAGCAGAGGGTTGGCTTCCCCTCCATCACTGACCACGACTCCCCGGACAGCAGGAATCACGCAGGAATGCCCAATAAGGAGCAGAATTTTGCTCTATAAAGACCTCTCTGGTTCACAAAAAACTGACCTAAAACAGACCCATAGCAGACCTATCAGATGCCGTTTTTGGGCGTTTTTTGTGGTGGGGGGTGTACAACATGCAATATATTGTATGTGAGCGGGTATGGTGCTTTACATTACGTTTCATTTCCTGTCTTACATTTGTGTGTACATACATGCCGCTTGTTTTTCCAGGGAATATTTATCATGTCATTTTTATGAAAGTGCCCTTAGTTTGTTTAGTTTATGTATAATTTTATGCACAGAAACGCTCTAAAATAAACATTTCTGTCATGTGTTCTTTATCTTTTTCTTTTTGCCTATTCATTTAAAAGATTCAAAAACTTTTATTTGTCAGGTTTTGTCAACGGTAAACACAGCTTCAGGTGATTAATTAGATTTCCACAACTTCTCTTTTGTAAAAGTCTAACAGTGCATGTAACGTGCAGAAAATGCCGAATTACCACATTGTAAACCACTATCTCTGTTTTCTGACTTTCATGAGAAGATGCTCATGACAGGAGCACCAATTTCTTCTTTAAACTCATTGTCTTTGTTTCTCTAGCTTTAAAGGGGAAAAACGTCCCTTTGCATGTGGATTTACACATCACCGACCTGGAAAACATGCAAAATGTTTACCTGAATGTTGCTTTTATTGGACTTGAGGAAGAAGGTTGGTGGCCTGATTCAGTACTTCCCCAGGCCACATGTCAAAGTCTGTTTAGGCAATTATTCCAGCGCAATCTCTGGTGAGCCATTTTGAATGAACACATTAGCTTAGTGTTTGTTTTTTTAATATGTCAATATGATGCAAATAGGGACACTGGCAACAACTAAGCAAGACTATGTTTTATTTTTAAATTCCAAATATTTTATGAGCATGGGATTTGCATTCTTTGGTGAGCACTGAGGTGTTGGACAATCAGCTTTCACATCATGACCACCCAATGGAAAGTTTGCATTCTACCAAAAGAGCTTTGAGCTGTCAACCAACACCTGAGGGTGTCCAGATGCCTCCTACCAGGCTGTTTAGGCTAAGTACCACCTGTAGGGGAGTTAGTGTTCATTTTAAGAAAAGATTTACGCCTTCTTGTAAAACAAAAACGAGCAATGGAATTTGTTTAGCTACAAAGAGACTAGTTGTCAAACTTCTGTTGGGTTTGATTCAGACTCATCTCAACATGCAACATATTTTTGGTGCACCTCCTAAAACTGCATGCTATAAGAATCCCCACGCTGACCCTTGTCTTGAATGCTGTGGAAACTTTCCTCTGATTTTGAATTACAGGTATGCACGCATACTGAAGAATATTAAATCTAAATCACGAATCCCGTTCCCGTTTTGGAGGTAAATTGAGGAAATTTCAACAGCAGAAAGTCACAGTGGCAGTATCACAATGTTTTGAGGGAAACAAAGGGCCTCTTTCAGGGACAGAGCCTCTCTTGAGTTTGATTCTGTCAAACGTTTCTTCCTGTTAAAAGGGAGGGCTTTTTTTTCCTTCCACATTCTCCTCGTGCTCACTCAGGATGGGGGATCTGCTGAATTCTTCAATAAGGAACTTTTTGAACTGGCTTTGTATGAATTGGATATATTTAGGATAGAATGATCTGGATTGGGCCTTTGGATTTTGACCGTATTACATTGAATTAGATTCTAACTGGTGTGAATCGGACTGTATCTTAGCCAGAGATGACATTTGATGTGATATGTGCTATACAAATAAAATGTAATTGGACTTAAATTTATTGAATCAAGAATAGCTACATAACTGGGTGGTGCCGTGTGAAGATTTCTTCTACAGATAAACTCACTTCCGAAACAGTGAAGCAAACATCAGTATGACAGTTTTAGATCATTGAAAAATGATGTCACAAAAATCAGAAGTCGTCTCAGTTTAGTGGAGTCAAACAAATTGTCTCAGATTGGACAGCGAAAGGCTTTTTTGTTGAGGATTCGACAAAGAACTGATCTGTTCCTCATCTGTTGAGCAGGATTAGTTTAAGTAGGATAATATAAAAAAAAGCATGGTTGGGCATCAAATACATTCAGTGACAGTTTCTTGTTTCCTTTTCGTTGCACTTCCTGTGGTTTCTTGCGGCTGCAACTTGGTCTCATGGTTGTGCGTATTAAAAATCATCACACAAGTCCCATGTGCATATTTTTGGTTTGCCATTTCTGTTCGCTGTGACTTTTAAACCACACACCAAACTGTGAAGAATCTGTTCTCAATTCTCAGCATGCTATAATATATATATTTTTTAATAATTGTTTTGAGTATGTATTCAAACAGTCACCATGACTACTCTGCTCATGAACCTTAGACTCACAAGCTCCACATCATACCTCATCACTTCCTCAAATGAAATTAGGTGTCATGGCTGAGGAGAACAGATACTTTTTCAGTTGGCAGAGTTTCTCAGAGCACTTGAAGAAGCATTTAAAAAGTAGCACTAAAAGGGAAATTGTGGCTTTTGAGAACATTGTCCTGTTGTTATCAGTTTCTTGGCTTTATCCACGTTGTGTTTCTGAAAAGGAATCTGAAATGTTCATCCTGTAGATTCAAAACCACTACAAGAGGATGTGGTTACCTGAAGTCAACCATTTGAATATGTCCCCATATGTGGAAATGGAGTGAAGATTGTGAGGAGGGTGGGGTTGGGGGTGTGACGACGTGCCATTTGCAGTTTTAAAATTGTTGTTCTCTGGTTAACTCCTTACACGAAAAATGGGGCAAATGCGCAAAGAATCAGACGATGCTCATTTAAAAACAGATTAAAAAACCCATTCGCCACATAGAGTTGGCTGAAAAGGGGAGTTTGATGGAACCATTTACACCAAAAAACAAAACAAGACAACATAAAAACAGTGATGCACCTTAAGGGGAATTTAGGGACGATTCTACTTTTTATGCAATGTACATCCATCCATCCATTTTTGTTTCTAAAATAACAAAACCTCAGCCATCAACTTTTATATCCCTATAATTAGTCTGAGTCAAAGTCTTGGAGGGAAAACCTGATAATATTTGTGTTTTTTCTCTGTAACCATGACAACCGCTTTGACCTAACATGCAAAGTCGTTCCGGCGTATTGATACAAAATACTTCCCCAAAACAGGATGTGTTCATATACATAACTTTAAGATCATGACAAAATGTCTTTCACTTCCCTTACAGTCTTCCTTTAAACGTTTTAGCTAAGGTGAAACTAAAGGATGTTGAACTGGTTACCTCTCAGACACAATCTGGGTGTGACACAACCGTTTCGTGGTCACAGGCTAAAGCTAAAGCACCGAAAGACTCAAATCATGAAGAATGAAAACTGTTTTAGCAGCTTGTGGAATAAAATTCACATTGGTATATAAAGAAAGAGCAGAGGACTGCAGAGTTGAGTGCATAAAGTTGTGATGTGGACTTCCTTCTGTCCTCACGTTACAGGTGGGTGATGGGAGTTGGCCTCAGACCAAAGAGGAGGTGCTGCCTTGAGGGGGTCACACTCTGATGGTCATCCTTCCCTCTAATGCGCTCCATTTTCTGTGGCTGCACGGCAGGAATGTGGTTTCTTTAGCTTTTCGATAAATCACAAACCAAACAAGACTCCAAGTGCTCACTAACTTTGGTCAAAAACACTTGAGGTACAAGATGTGGTTTTTTGATGAGAAAGCGAGGAAAGAAAGAGGATCACGGAGCAAAAGGTCCCCATCTGAATCCAGAAAAAAAAAAGTTGGACAAAAGCACCTTTGTTTTGTGATCAGAGCAGGATGCTATTCCCACATAGATCAAGAGTGAGACGTAAAAACTGGTGGATTCCAGGAGTCTTTCTGGGACAGAGATCCTTTGATGGCAGAACTCCTGCACCAGGTGCTGGAAGAGGAAGGGCTCAAAAGCCCAAACATTCACCCCCAGTCCATTAAAGTACTTTTCAGCCCAGTACTCACATCTTCCTTTTGAGTGATGACTCAATATTTAATAAAGATTTTACACTCATGGCTTGACATTCCTTCAATTAACTTTTGGTGTTTTGTGATAAACCAGCACAATGCCTTTTTCCTATACAGGACAGAAAAAATTCAAATTTTTCTGGTTGGTGTCAAGTTTAACTTTTGTAAGCTCACACCTTAATCATAAAAACTCAAAATTAGGGGAACTGTTTCCCTTTGAAAGGTTGAGCAAGAGCTGATGCATCATGTAAACTACAAACACTCCTAGTTTTAAAGCCAGTTATGTTGTGGGTTTGCATGAGATGGAAACTTCTACACATGCGGGACCAACTAGCTCACCTAATAGACTACATTAAACAGCATAAGGAAACACGTTCTGAATGACTGAACTCCAATTGTGTCAAATGTATACAGAGACAAACGTTTGAGAATTAGCTTTATTTGGTCCTAAACAGTCTAAAAACCACATCCAGTTACACAAAGTTTCCAAAGAAATGTTCAAATTATTAATTTCACATCAAGTACTACCTTAAAGAAACCGACCACACCAGATAAGAGTAAACAGTGATTTTCAGAACAAATTGAAGCCTGTGATAAGAGCCCAACAGAGAGCAGGGACGCCAAACAGGGCGCGTAAAAACGCAGCGCTCTTGGATGTGCGCGCTCTCGCCGAAACCATCTCCCCCCCACACCAAAGACGGAAAGTTCTAGTCCAGATGCGTTTAAGATGACGTTTTCCGCCAATGCCCAGCGTTATATCCATACTCCAGAAGCGGCCGCAGCTCCGGTCCCGTTAGAGGGGCCAGCCGTAGAGGACGGACACGGCCGACGCCAGGGGGAGGAGGGCGAAGGCAGCAGGGCTCCCGGAGCAGCCGCTGGTGGAGTTAGGAGCCGATGTAGAGTTCCCATTCTGTGCCCGGACCACCTAAAAGTAAAAATAAATAAGTCAGGTAAAATTGGATGAAGCGTTACAGATCCTCTGGTGCAAATTCTCCTGAAACGCAAACTCAGAAAGCCACTTTCCCAGTGGATCAGAAACACTGTAAAGCTAAGAGTAATGTTTCAAGTTGTGTTGGAAGGAAGGGACCGGCTGTTATTGAAATAAATAGTTTGCAATAAAAAAAATTAAAAAAAAGATCCATCCGAAAGCAAGTGAACGTGAACTGAAGAGGAACACGTACCTGTGATGTCAGATGGAGAGCCATCAGGAGACCCGCGAGGAAAACGATGCACAGCCTGTTCATCTTGGCGTTTTGTTTTTGTCTCTGTAAGACACGGTTGTGTTCTTCTCAGGGATGAATCAGCGGATGACTGAAAAAGCCTAAGCTCAACGTTTTTATAGCACCGCTGACATCATCACCAAACTGATGACACCTGCTGCAGACCGCGTGCTGCGTTCAGGGCCGCCCCCAAAAGGCCACCTGAGTGATCAGTGGAAGGAAGATGTTATCTGAGGTTTTTAACTAATCTTATATTTGTTTTTAAAAAGTAATATAATAAAATAATATATAAATAATCAAATTATGTAAAAATGGACCCAGACAGAAGTATAACTATATTGTTCTATGTCTGCCTGGTCTTGATATGTTGAAATGTAAAAGTGTTTTTAAGTATAGAAACATGTTTATACATATTTTAGGTTAAAAATAATGCATAATACGAACACATTGGTGCACTTTTTTTACATGTATAATTCAGCACTTCTAGGAGAGCACACCCTCATCTCTAACCATTACTAACCTTTCTTTTTTATTACTGAGACTGACTGGCTGCCCTCATCTATCTCTGTCAGGCATTTATAACACTAAAGACAGCAGCAGCAGCATCATCAGGGCCTCCACACACTCCAAACACCACTTTATCAGACCTCTACCCTCAGAAGGGCGTTTTAGGGTAATAAAAACAATAACAAACTGACTAAAAAACTGCTTTTATCCGGGAGCTTCCGTTGCAAATACAAACAAGAGCTGAACTAAAGTATTTTTGTCAGTGCCCATTTGAAAAAAAAGTATGTAAATTGTCTTTCTTTTTATCTTAAACTACCTCTTTTGGTGCTATTTTCAGAATTTTGTTGTGCTTTTTCTGCCAATGACAATAAAAAATAATTCTGACTTCGACACCTAACAGTTTAGATGTGAGCAAAATGACTCACTAGCTCTGATCTACAAGCAGAGGTTAGAATACTGTGATAATTATGAATATTTGGGTTTATTTCCCTACATACATGTATGACAGGAATGTATTTGTTTGAACGGTATTGCGCTCAGAGTTGGCCGACATTGGCCCTGCCGGCTTTCCGTAGTTGTCCCTCCGTATCTTGTTCCGGTAGAAACAACCTCACAGCCGTGAGGACATAACATGACCACACTGTGATAGCAAACTGGAACGATACATAATAATTGCTTTTCGTGTTTTAGTTAGTCCACGGAGCTCCCTCGCCTCTCCATGCTGCTGTGCCGGGTCTCCGCCCTGAGCCAGGCGGCGGCCAAATGGGGACGGAGGTCACGCCGGGGAGGCGGCCTCCTCGTCCACCGTGCCGTCTCCTTTAGCTCCAGCCGCCGTCACGGTGTCAACTCCGGGGAAGGCAGCCCCCAGCCGGCGGAGCCCGGCTCCCCTCAGGCTCTGTACCGGGACACGGTGCTCCTTCCCCGGACCGAGTTCCCCATGAAACTGACCGGGCAGAAGCTCCTGGACCGGGAAGTCCAGATACAGCAGGTAGTTTGAAACATGGAGGCTTCCCCCAAAACTCTTCATTCAAGTCGTTAGCTGCCCAACTAAATGTTCAAGGAAGTTAGGAATTAAATTTTGTTCTGGTCTCCTCTCCATATTTTTAAGAATTCATGTGAATATAATAAAGGTTATAGAATAAGAGTCCTATAGCCACAAGTCTGTACAATTCTCCAAATTATTTAGTAATAACATTATTAATAATACAAATATTTAACGAAAAGAGAGAAGAATAATTAGACTGAATTGGCCTGTAGCATGTTAGATGTCAAAGTTGATGAGAGTATAGTTTGGTAAAGACTAAACATGACCCTAAATCCTCTTTTAACCTGCTGCAGGAGTGTGGGTTTGCAGATTTATACTCATGGCAGAGAGAAAGGAAGGCCAAGAAAGAGTTCTGCCTCCATGATGGACCACCTTATGCCAACGGAGACCCTCATGTTGGACATGCACTCAACAAGGTAACTATCCTTCGAATTTTGAATTGTTTGTTTGTTTGATTTTGATGTGCTGTTTGCTAAATTTCACTTGTTATGTGCTGCAGATTGCAAAAATAACTCAGACATGACTCCTTTCAGATCCTGAAAGATATTCGCAACCGTTTCGAGCTGCTCCGGGGCCGGCAGGTCCACTACGTCCCGGGCTGGGACTGCCACGGGCTGCCCATTGAGCTGAAGGCTCTGGGAGAGCTGGGCACCAGTGGGCTCAGTCCGCTGCAGATTAGACAGAAAGGTGAGCATTCCCTAAATGGTTTGCCGGACGGGTGCGTGGCTGTTGCCGTGCAGCCGCTGGAACGTTTTTCCTCCGTCTTGTGTAGCGCGGGAGTTTGCTGAAAAGGCCATCGCTCGGCAGAAGGCGGCGTTCCAGCGCTGGGGGGTGATGGCCGACTGGGAGCAGTGCTACCAAACGTTTGATGGAACCTACGAGGCAGCTCAGCTGAAAGTCTTTCAGGAGATGCACAGCAAGGTAGGCATAAATTAGCTTTCATACAAAGCTTTTAACCCTCATTGTAATATTTATAGTGACTCAACAATAAGTTGGTGATACTATGTTGACTGAGATGCAGAAACTGAGGGTTTTCATCCCTGTTGTCCTTCTGTGTTGGTCCGCAGGGGCTCATTTACCAGGACTACAAGCCTGTTTTCTGGTCACCTTCATCCAGGTATGACATTATCGCGCCGACTCATCTTCAGTGTGGGATTGAAAACGTACCGACTGTCTGTTTGACTTCACAGAACAGCCCTGGCAGAGGCGGAGTTGGAGTACAACCCGGAACATGTGAGCCGGGCCATCTACGCCACGTTTCCTCTGGTCACGCTGCCACCAAAGATGGCCTCAGAAGAAGGTAATTCCAATAAACGCGTACAGATAGTAAAAGTGTTTTGGGGTGATTCAAAGCGGGCCGGTGGTGAATGACCCGACTCCTCGGCAGGTCTGGACAGTGTCTCTGTGTTGGTGTGGACCACCCAGCCCTGGACCATCCCCGCTAACCAGGCTGTGTGCTACATGCCAAACGCACAGTAAGAACACGAACCACAAACTGGTGTTTGTGACACTGCGGCTTCTATGGAACATTTAAAAAATGCTGTATTTTGTCACACATTTAGTATCATTCTTAGACTAAGGCTGCTGGAAAATGGCAGCCTCTCATCATGATTATTTTGATTTCTATTAACTGAAATGTAACTGCTGGATAACCTATTTGTTTTTAATATTATGACAGTTACTTTAAATATGAGGAAGACAACAGCTGCACAAAAATAACAGTTTTATGTGTTTAAAGTGTTTTAATTTTTTTTCAGAAAGTCACAGTTGTAATTATATTTTATATATTTAATATTTTCCTCAACTGTTCTTTGTAGGATAGAAGTGAGTTAATCTTCTCTGTTTTCCCTCAAGTCACCGTTTGATTCTGTGTTAGTGGGTTCAGGTTTAAGATATTATTTGTCACTGGGTGATTATTTTAAGCATTTTTTAGGTGTCCTGCACCTTTAAAATGAGACAGAAGAGCCGCACCGTGCCTCATCCATTCACATAATGACTCAGGTTTGCGGTGGGGGTCTGAATGTAAGCGGCCTGTCTGTGTTTGTCTGCAGGTACTCTGTGGTGAGGAGAGGGGACGACTCTCGGCTGCTGCTGGTGGCCTCTGAGCGCGCCGCCAGCCTGGCAGCCCTGCTGGGCACAGAGCTGCAGAGCATCGGATCCTTCACAGGTGACGCCCACACTCTGCTGCCTCCGGACTGATGGGCTCTTTTCCCTCAAAATGCATGTTGTGCTGACAAAAAGAGTTTAAAAAGAGCATCAGAGAGCCTTTAAAAGTGCATCTTTAATTATCCGTCTCTTGACTGAGTGGTAGCCCTTAACGGGACCTTGTTGATTGTTTCTCTCTTTTTCTTCTAAGGTTCCCAGCTTGAAGGCGGGGTCTGCCAGCATCCCACCATTCCCGACAAGCAGGTGCCCCTGTTGCCAGCCAATCATGTGACGATGGGAAAAGGAACAGGATTGGTCCACACGGCGCCGGCTCACGGCATGGACGATTACAGCGTGGCGTCCCAGTTTAAGCTGTCAGTGGTACGTTGTGTCAGTGGGAATGCTGACAGGAAGCACGTCTGGGACATTTGCTAAAATTTTTATTTTTGTCATCGTTGTGAAAGCTGAAGCTGGAAAATGGAACATCCCAGCTCAGAAAAGTAATGGTGCATCTAGATGGTGCAGATTGAAGTAAACAAAGTAAATAATAATAAAACAGCAAGAACCACAGAAAGTCATGGTGCAGCAGGCTTTGATCCCGTCCTTTTAATGGGAGACGACTACAGGAATGGGTCATTTCTTTCACCCGGTTCAGAATGATGCGACTTAGCTGGGAATTGGTGTCTTCTGATGGATAAATCTCGACCTAAAGAGTCATTAAAGGCATTTTGAGACAAAATATTACAAACGCAAAGAAAATCCCAAAGAAAAAAATGAGCTAAAATGCGGTGTGCATGTTTTTCTTTGGTTTAAGGAGTGCATGGTGGATGAGGAGGGGAAGTTCACGGAGCTGGCCGGGGCCGATCTCCAGAACCTGTCTGTGATGACGGAAGGCACCGACCGGGGTAGGCCTTCTGAGCCACATCCTGCCGGGTGACTGTGTGTGTGTGTGTGTTTTTATTGTGTGTCCTTCTGCTGCCCGTGGCAGTGATTTCCCTGCTGAAGGACAGCGGGGCTCTGGTCCTGGAGGAGCGGTGTGTCCACAGCTACCCGTACGACTGGAGGACCAAGAAGCCCGTCGTCATCCGGCCCAGCAAACAGTGGTTCATCAACACGGCCTCCCTCAAAGACAAAGCCAAGGCAAGAAAGCGACGCTCAGACAGGCGTTTCTGTCTGGGGAATGGCTGGCATGTCTGGGGCCTCTGTGAAGGACAGTGTGTGTGTGTGTGTGTGTGTGTGTGTGTGTGCAGGAGGCGCTGCAGAAGGTCCAGATCCTGCCGGAGTCTGCGCGGGCCAGTCTGCTGGCCACGCTGGACAGGCGCACCTACTGGTGCATCTCCAGACAGCGGAGCTGGGGGGTGCCCATCCCCGTCTTCTACCACAAAGAAACCGGAGAGGCTCTCCTCAACAAGTGGGTGAACGGCAGCACGTCTGGGTACCAGATGGCTTTTGAGGCCACCGGAGCCTCCTACATCCCAACACATGTGACCCCCCCCCCCCGACTTTGTGTCTGCAGACACACGGTGTCCCACATCGCTAAGCTCTTCAAGGAGAAGGGCAGCGACTGCTGGTGGGAGCTTCCCACCGACGACCTGCTGCCGCCAGAGGTGATCAAGAAGGTGAGCCACAAGTCCGTACAATTCTCCAAATTCTTTAGTAATAATATTATTAACTCATTGGCTAGCAAAGACGTCTATAGACGTCAATTCAAATACAACCGTTGACTGCCAAAGACGTATATAGACGTCTTTTATGTTTTTCAACGAGAGTGGCTTGGGGGACGATCTGCTAAAGCTTGTCCGTAAATATCGGCTTCTAGACAGAGTATGTAGTAACAAATTGAGCCTCTAGGTGGCAGTGCCACTTTTGATGGGAGATGAGCATAGACTGTAGGAAAATAAGAAAAAGGTAACGGTTTGCTATGAGAGAACATGTCGCGGGTGAGACGCAAGTCGAGGAAGAACGGAATAAGGTAGAAACAAAAATTTTTTCCTGATGAAATAAGAGAGTCTACTCTTCCTTTTGGTGTGTTCGGTGTTTACATAGTCATAGCACAAACTATTCTGTGGCTCTTGAAAAATCAGTCAAAATGCTCCAAAAACTCTGGCAGTATGGGACTCTCTGTTTTGAAAATGGCTGGCAGTCAATGAGTTAATAATAAACATTTTTAATGAGGAGAGAGAAGAATAGATAGGCTGAATTGGCCTGTAGCATGTTAGATGTCAAAGTTGATGATAGTAAAGACTGAACATGACCATAAATCCTCTTTTAACCTAGATTTTTGGTGTACTGTTTGCGTGACTTTAAATATTCAGCCGGCAGCCGCCTGGTGGAGCTGTAAGGGTTAATAACCGTTTTCCTGTGAACTGTTTTTTTCAGAGTAAAGTGGGTCCAGCGAGCGACTTCATCCGTGGAGAGGACGTCCTGGACATCTGGTTTGACAGTGGAGCCTCGTGGGCCGCCGTGCTGGAAGGTAGATGAGCCGGAAGCGTTTTCTAATAGTGAGACCTAGGTCTGAGTTACCACGGTGATGTGAGCGTCGAATCTGAATCTTTGCACTAATGATGTCCAGAGTGTTGACGCTGCCCCCGAAGGAGTCTCTCCTGCTCAGATCCTCAGGGTCGTTTTTTCCCAGAACAAGCTCGCCCAACAAAAACCTTCCAGAGTCTTTAATCAAGTCTGCTGTCATTAGTTTAATGTAGAGAAAGCAGCTTAGCCCTACCTGATGTAGTCCCCCAGAACAAGCAAGCTGCTTTGTAAGGCATCATTAGCAAAATCCGCAGTCGGGCCTGGATTTGGAAACAGCAGCCTCAGCATGGCCGGATACTCCGGATAAGGTGTCCTCAGCACCCGGTCAGCAGCGACTGGACCTGCTAACAACAGTCTGTCCTAATGGAGGGGGGGGGGGTCGGCTTCCCTCTCAGCAGACAGTTTTTAGCCTCTTGTTTGTCTTTAATCAGCAAATGATGGTAGATATTTTGGACTTTTTTTGACCCCCTAGATAAAGGTTCAAATCTAGAGAAGGGTCATGTTTTAATTGGGTGAACACATTTTAGGAAGCTGCTTCGTCATAAGTGATCAAAGATGTGCACCATTTTTCGTTTCTTTTTTACTCTTACTTTACTTTTTTAAAAACGCAGTAAGTCCATGACGATGGAGCTCGTTTTAAATGTATTTTGCCTTAAACACACTGACACTCAGATGTTTAATAAAAAGGGCAGACTGAAGATGTGTGCAGAATATAAGAAATATTACAAAAAAAGCAGGAGGGTGCTTCTGGTTGAATGAATGCTGCAGCAAAAGGTTGATGATCAATTAAACTGATGTTTCAGCCATTACTTACATTCCAGGTCCCGCCCCCTCCGGCATGAATTCAGATTTTGCCGTTCAGATTGAGGGTGCTTTGAAAAACAACAGATATGTGTCAGGTTCAAGGCCCAGATTGGATTAGAAATAATCGGAACGTTACACTTCCTGTCACATAAAAATCAGATTTTGGCCACATTTGTCATTGCCAATAAAAAACATTTGCACGTCATCAATGTTTAGGACTGCACTCGAACAGTTAAACGCTTCCCTCACATTTTTCCACAATCAGAGCGTGACTTGTTTGTTGTGGCTGTTTTTGAACCTCCAGAGGAGATGGAGGGAGACTCTGAGGAGCCTGAGTCCCGTCTCAGCTGGCTTCCAGCCCCGCTGCGCAAACCTCTGGCCACAGGTTGTCTGGACGTTCACCTGCAGGGGGCGCCGCTCAGGCCGCCCGTCCCGTTCCTCTCTGCGTCTGCTTGAGCTTCCTCTGTCCGCCTTCCAACGCTTTGCAAACGTAGACGCAGGAGATTGGAGAGTTCCTCCAGCATGAGCCTCTTTACCCTCTGGTTGCCTCGTTCTCATGTCTGCATGCAGGACCTCCCTTTGTTAAAAAAAACACCCCTTTTTTCCAGGATTGGTCCAAACCCTGCGTTTGTATGCTGGCACTTTTCTCTATGGACCAATTAGAGGTGAAGTCAGGTGGCTCCTACTAAAACATGGCTGTCCTCAGTAGTGGTCCCGGGTTGTTTCTCAGACTAACAGAGGCTGGTGTCTCCTGTCTTCTTCCAGGCACTTCTTTTTTATTTTTTTTCTTGGACACATACTCACCTCTCTCCTCCTTTCTGATTTCTCTAAATGTTTACTCACTGCTTCCTCTGCCCCCCCCCCTCCTGCAGAGTCAGACTCCCGAGCAGACGCATACGTGGAGGGAAAGGACCAGCTGGGGGGCTGGTTTCAGTCGTCCCTTCTCACCAGTGTGGCCGTCAGGAACAAGGCCCCTTACAAGTGAGCGTCCCCCTCCTTCCTGTGGTGTGCGTTGGATGGTTCACAATTCAGTTTTTTTTTTCCGTTTAGGTTTTTCTTATTCTTTATTGGACTTTTAGCTCGCCGGTCAAAAGCATTCGTTCAGTCAGTTCCATGTGTTCCAGGTCTCTGGTGGTCCATGACTTTGCGGTCAGCGAGAAGGGAGAAAAGATGTCCAAGTCTGTGGGGAATGTCGTGGATCCTGATGAAGTGATCAACGGAGGAAAAGTGAGATCAGAAGGGAGAGGATGGAGGGAGGAGTCTGTGATTGAAACGATTTAATCCTCAAGAACTGAGCCGATTTTAAAACTGCAAGAGAAAGTCTGAACATTTTAAAAAGTCATGGGACTTTTGCACAGCTTTAGAAAGACATAATAACATTCCATACAATTTGAATGATTCCTGTTTAATCACACGTTTAGATTTCTTCTTTGTTGTGGTGCTTCAGTCATTTTGTTGTAAAAAAAACAGGCATAAAACGTTGACTGAAAACTCAAACGGCGGCCTTTCTGTGGGCTCTCTGTCAGGATGCTCCAGCCTACGGGGCAGATGTGCTCCGCTGGTGGGTGGCCGAATCAAACGTCTTCTCCGAAGTCCAAATCGGGCCCACGGCCCTCAACCAGGCCCGGGACAGCATCAGTAAGGTACCGACAGACCGGACAGAGCCTCTGTGCAGCCCTCCTCCTCCTCTTCCTCACCTCCTCCTCACCTCCTCCTTCTCTTTGGCGTCCAGCTCAGGAACACGCTCCGGTTCCTGCTGGGCAACCTGCAGGGCTTCGACCCCCGCGCCCAGGCCGTGGACCCCAAACAGATGCACTACATCGACCAGTACATGCTGCACCTGCTCCGCGAGTTCAGCATGAAGGTGCGTGGGGGGGGCGGGGCCTCGGCGTGTCCGGCCTCTGCCCGCCGCCTGCTGACCCCCTCCTGTGTGCAGCAGGGCCGTGCAGAGACCACTAAAGGGGCAGGTGCTCAGAAAAAAAAGGGCACATCTAATCACATTTTAGGACAGAATATTAACAAAGTCACACAGCTTTCAGAGTTTAATGAACAATGATAAATTACAAAATTGTGAGACATACAATCAGAGCTAAGGAAAATCTCTACATAGAACATAGAACTATGCATATGTAAAATATTTTATTAGTAATTTCTTTCTGCAGGTCTATTTTATCATAGGAAAGTATTACAATATTCAAACTTGCAATTTAGCAAAATATGTAAATCAGAGCTGGACCACCAGACATATTTTGTCTTTACAGAATTAAACTGTTAAAAATGGATACACGGGGCACAATGCAACCTTTTAGTGTGACCAGAGGGCTTATTGTGTTGTTTTTATTGCAAAAAAAAAAAA